ATTTTTGCTCTATAGATAAGCAAAGCTACAGAGGAGATCTCTAGAGCAAAGGTTGAGGTCTCAAAAGGAGGGGGTCAAGACTGAAGAGGATCCCACAACCAACGTCAAGGTAACCGTCATATCAGTTGAGAGGGTAGCCGTCATTCCACGTTAACGGAGCAGTTTCTCGAAGTAGTTACTTCTGGTGGCTATAAATAGGAGGTGAAGATGACAGAGAATAGGTTTGCCAAATTCACACAAGACAACCCAATGTCAAATTTTATCTTTTTATCTTTTCCTCTGCAAGCTTAGCCATAGTTGTAGTTTTGGAGCTCTCACTGAACCTTCATAGGAGTAGGGCTAATTTAATGTAGATTTGCCTCGTAGTTCATCATAACATTGAACACCCTTGTTTGAACTTTGTTCAAAGAGGTGTGAACTGTGTTTGTTGATTGTTTGTTTGGAAGTCAAAAGTGCAATTCAATTATGTTCATCTAGATATTCTCGCTGAGAAAACTATAACTTACCTTGCTATTTACAAACTAAATACTTGCTTATACAAAGTTTAAATATCTCTAAAGTATAGTCTTGATGTATTGTCATTAAATAGTTCTTATTTCCAAAAATCACTTGTATTATCATTAGATAGTTTTAATTTTCATAAAAAAAAAATGGTTTCTACTTGTCGTACATAATTACATAATCATGATTCAATGTGTTATTATATGTACCCTATAAGATTATTGTTTATGAGGTACCTACTAAACCAATAAATATGAACCATTCACTAAATTAGTTTATATTCCGATTCAGTTCTAACAACATTATAAGCAATCCACACCAACCCATATTCTTCCTATTCAAACTTTTATACTCAGATTTTCACATAAATTCGAACAGTTTTAACATCCTCCTCCAAACCATCCATACATACATTCCGTTATTTTACTCGCAACAAGAAAGAATAAAGAATGATTTCCTTCAATCAATTGGGTGGTACGAAATGAAATCTTTTACTATTTGATGGTGGCAAATGATCCGCTCTTGTCGTTCCCATAGAAAGAAGACAAATAGAAGGAAAGCATTTACTGGGAAAAGTTGCATGCAATTTCCCACTTTCTCCGGCAGTTCAATGGTGGATACATGATTGATTGTGTGGTGGGGAATTCAAAGAGCAGCCAAGCCACCGTGATATTACAACTTGCAACTTGCAAGCACAAGACCCCGCCACAAGTCCCTCTTCCGACCACCATCTCTCATTCATCATTTTCTTATGGGTCCGGCAAAAAGTTAAAATATCTCAATGTTCATATATGCTCCACGAAGATTTTGAGTCGAGCTATTAGTTTGGCTCGAGTACAATAATAGATCAGATTCTCATTTGAATGTATTTCGCAAAAGAAATGACAAGTCAAATTGTGTAACAAATGAATAGGAGAGAAAGAATGATAATTAAATATAGGGATGATAATGGCGAGTGAAATCAAATTATCGAAAAGGTGGAGGATGGTTACTTAGTCGTTGTATATAAGAATGAAATGACGCATGTCACCACATGCAATTTGCCGATAATTCTTAAATACGTAAGAGAAAGTCGAATCGAGTGAACCACGTTAAAATTATCATTCATGATAAAAAAATACCATCATCCACAGATGATGATCATGAAAAGATAAGACCATGTCTTGAAATCTAATATCCAGTTAGTGATTATAGAATGGATGTGTTTCTTTTTAAAAAAAATATAATACGTAACTAAAAGTTTAAAAAAAATTCCAAACCAATTCTTTTGAGAATTTGTTAATAGTAGAACATTTTTTTGTTTACCACAAATTGTGGAACTCACTAAATCATTTCATTTCTAATTCTTTTCATTTAGAGAAAAAAGGAATATGTATTAAAATTTGTCCAAATATACATTTCCACCCAAAATTCACTCATGAAACTAGCCATAATCACCAAACACTTTTTGGCAATACCAAACACTTGTCCAAAAAAAAGATAAAAATACCAAACACAGTTTCCTTTTCCTTTTCACTTTGCCAATAAAACAAACACAGCCTTATTATGACCCCTTATATATATTTCGCCCCATTGCAGTTCTTGGGGAAGTCCGACGGTTACAGAAACTTTCACTACCACAGCTCACGCGGTGGAGCTCCTGATCTCAACCTTACTCTTCAACAGTCAAGAAAAGCCCAATCCCTCGACATCGTTTTTAACAAACAAGAACAATCAGCATTCAGCAGCAGTGGGGTGCTCGGCGACGAAGGAAAGAAAATCGTTTTCCAGTTGCGACTCGTCGGAATTCCTCTGAGCTACCCATTTCTCATTTCTTCGTTACCCAACCTGGGGAGCTTCTGACTTTCGAGCAAAGCGCACCAATTTTGCGACTTTCTGATTCAGAGGTATCAAAATTGTGTATGTATCATTTTCCTTCTTCATCTTTTTCGGAGGATTGAATGGTTCTGATGTTTGTTGTGCTCCACTCTGCAGTTTGTTGATTGCAGAGAGGGAATGGGGAGTCCAGTGGCAGTGAAGAAAGTGCTGCTGACCTCCAATGGCGACGAGGTTTCCCAGAGTATCGCCTTCCAGTTAGCCAAACATGGTTGCAGGTAAAGCATTTGGGTGTTTGAAATGACGCAGGAATTGAAAGGACCCTTTTGAGAGAATAGAATTATCAATTACAAACACTAGTTTTTCAGTTGGCTCTTGTTTGCTGGAGATTCTGATTCTTTGATCCTTTTCTCACTTATTTTGTTTGTGGTTTAGGTTGGTTTTGATGGGGGATGAGAACTGTCTAACGCGTGTCAGTGAGAAGATAATGAGCTCCATCAATGGTGCTGCCACAGTAGAAGTGGTGGGGGTGGATATGGAAGATGAAAGAGAGGAAGCTTTTGATGAAGCTGTGGGGAAGGCTTGTGGGATTCTGGGGAATCTGGATGCTTTTGTCCATTGCTATTTCTATGAAGGTAATAATAAAATTTTGAATCATATTCTTGTTGTACTTGTTTGGATGTGGATTGAAAGTGGTGGGAAAAAGGGGCAGTGGACTTTAATTTTTCCTCTAGAAGTTAAAACTAATGTAAAAGAGGTTTTAATCCAAACAGTAAAATCAGAATGAAATGAAAGCCATTGATGCAGTTCAAATTGGGACTGGAGAATCTGGATTTTCCATCACAGCCCAAAAGGATCATTCAACCAAAAATTTGGCCTGGACTGGGATGGAACAGTAATGGGAATTGACTAATGATGCCTGGCCAACATTTGGGCTTTTTTCCAAATGAAATACCTGAGTCTGCAGTATTTTCTTGGCAGGTTTCCTAAAGACAGTGACTTTCATTTGGGTTTTTAGGGAGAAATTGCCTCTGCTATTAGTCCTTGTAGATGTTTGCATTACCGCAAAGTCAGAATTTATTGCTTCTGGCCTTGTTTGACAAGTTGTGTTGGTCCCTCATTGTACCAAACCCTTGCTTCAGTAACTACTTGGAAGATGAAAACAATACTTCCCTGAATTGCTCTGTCTAGAACCTAGTTGGTCCCAGAAATCATTCAAAATGGCAAACTTTAGTTCTTTGTTAAGTTTGATGGAAACCAACCTCTATGAAGGATTCCATGATCGTGAACCTTTCTTACCTGGGAACACAAATCCCAAGTTTGTCTATCGAATTTTATCAGTGCTACATGATCTTATTGATAGGGACCCAGTATCGTGCTTTCTGTTAATACATGAATGTTTGGAGTCCATATTATGCACTTTCTAGCTACCTACCTATTCAATTATAAAATCCTCTATTACACTTCGGATCAAGGAATCTGCTGCTCAATGGACTGGCTATGGATTACAGGAAAGATGCAGAACCTTCTGAAGTTCCCCGAGAGCGAGTTCAAGAAGACAGTCAAGATAAATTTCATGTCTCCGTGGTTTCTGCTAAAGGCTGTTGGAAGTAGAATGCGAGACCATAACACAGGAGGTTCTGTCGTCTTCCTGACCTCACTAAATGGTGCAGAAAGAGGGATTTATCCAGGAGCTGCAGCATACGGTTCATGTTCTGCTGGAATCCAGCAATTAGTTAGGGTAAGTTGATACATAATGCTTCATATGGTTCATAAGCCTTTCTTGTTAGCTTCTAGTGATTTGCTTTAAGCACAAGTAGTTATCGAATTTGTCAGTAGAGCTTTTCGCTTCTCATATCTTCGGATGATGATCTTATTTCATGGATAGTCCATTAACTAGATTGCTAAGGCCTTCCAGTTAACTTGACCTGAAGGTTCTGCATCGGATGCATTTGTGTATCAGGGCTTCAGTCTCAAGTGACATTGAGTTCTTTGTTGCCCTATAGATAGTTATAAACATTACAGATTTAAGGGAACTCTAAATACTTGCACCCTAGGAGAATCATATAAAGATTGATTGATAAGCTGTACCAGTTATCCTATACCTGAAGATTCTTCATGGGCTTCATCTGTGCATCTCTTTTCAACAGTGCCATTGTGTTATATGAATATAGGCTATAATACCAACTGCAACTTTCAAGAGTTAAAAAAATGTTACTATACATGTAACAACTTCAAACCAACTAGCATGATGTTACCTCTACTACTCACCCATCACATCTTCTCATCGAACCTTTTCTGGTCTGCAGAATTCAGCCATGGAAATTGGGAAGCACAAGATCCGAGTCAACGCGATTGCACGAGGCCTGCATCTGCAGGACGAGTTCCCCATATCAGTAGGAAAAGACAGAGCAGAGAAGCTTGTTGGCGAAGTAGTACCTCTCCAGAGATGGCTAGATGCCCAAAATGATCTACCATCAACTGTCATGTATCTAATCAGCGACGGCTCTCGTTACATGACCGGAACAACCATATTCGTTGATGGAGGCCAGTCCCTGTCGAGGCCCTGTCTGAGATCCTTCATGTAGTTCAAAATTGCTTGGAGAAGGCTTATAGTAGTAATTTCTCTTGAAATTCTTTCATAGGATAAAAGAAGAAAAGGAAAGAAAGGAATGAGTAGTAATGTTATCTTCAATCTGTTATTTGTAAGTAAAAGGGTCAACATTCTGATCATTTGTTCAATGAGAAGCAGAAATCTGCATACCTGCAGCTGAATCAATGGCTTGCTCGGGCTGAAAGGTCACTACTTTGAAACGATGGATCACGACTAGCTGCATCATAGCAGGCAGCAACCAAGCACACGTGGTTATGATAAAGTTTCGTTCTAGAAAGAAATAAATAGATCATTCATTGGAAAGAACATAACAAAGAATTACTTAATCTCTGTTCAACGATGGCAGGCTGCGACTGTGTTGGAATTCAAACTCCAAATCTATAATATTTCTAGCTTCACGATGTTTTTCCAATGGGGTTGGACTAGGAACAGGATCCACTTCTAGGCTATACGGTTTCTTCGGTTGACAAGTAATCAATCATTCAAAGGTAATAAGCTCCTTCCTTTCTATTAGTTGTGGATAAGCAGAGTGCCCTGTTTTTCGCTTCAGAGGAAACGGAGCAAATGTGGCGGACGTCGGAGAGGAACCCCGTCGTCCGGTGGCCGTTAATCCACTATTTTCTTCGGATCATGAAATAATACTGTTTCCAGCAGCTTCGGCGAGTAAGTAAATCGATTACCCACTAATCTATATCGGACCAAAGAATTAGAATTGGTCGGGGAAGGATTTTTCTTCCGATCTCTCTCACTCCGTCGTGTGATAAAGGAAATTGCAGAGGCTCAGGGAATTTATGGCTGGGCAAGGAAGGAAAGGCCAGCGAGCTCCGGCGGCGGTTTGAGAGGTAGAGGAAAACCCCTTAACCGGTGGCCAACTCCATCACCAGCCCCCGCCGCTGCTGCTGGCCGGTAGAGGAGTACGCCAGAGGACAAATGGCGCAAGAACGAGCGACGGAGCAGCGGGAACAAGCGCGAAAAATGGGAAATACGGGTGTCCGAAACGTCGAAACGCGAAACGTTTCGAGTTCTCAAAACCAAAATCGAAACGCGATAAATTGACGAGAAAGTGAAATTGACGATATACGATATGGTACGATATATCGTGATAATTTGGTGATATATTGACTTTTCTGCGATATATTGACTCGGCCTGATCGAGACCATCTCTGCAAAAACAGGGGGCGGGAAATAACCGGGGAAAAAACAGAAAACAAGCAGAGCAGCTCGCTGTTGTTGACTGACAGAGCAAAGCCTAATGAAGAGGAATCACAAAGGCCGGGAGAGTCGAGTAGAGAGAAAGGTAACTAATTTTAATTTCCAGCATATGACGCATCTCTATACGAACCCAAAAACATTGAGTAGGTAGGCTCTGTTTTTTCTTCCGGCAACGGCGACGGATTGGGGGAATTAGTTCCGGCCCGGAGGTGTAATTCTCTTTACCCACTATCACTATGAATCATCACCCGATCATGAATACGCCGTTGGTCGGCGAGAAACAGCTCTAACGACCGAGCTTGGCATGACAGGAGAACACTCTGTTCAGAGGGAGGCTCTGCCTCGGAGGATGCCTGTGAGAACACTCTGTTGCACAGCTCAATTCCGTCTGCAGACATTGGAAGGTCTATCATTGACAGACCCTTTCTGTGGCTCCTATTCATTCTCAATAAACTACAGCAACAATCCAGCAGCTAGCTAGCAGAGGTTGTGGGGTATAAACTAGAAAGCAATTAAATGGAAAACATGTACAAGCAGAGTGTGTGTGTGCGCTCTGTGGGCAGTGAAGTAGGCACCTGTTTGAGCATTAGTTTTAGGCATGGTGGTGGGATTAAAGAGCACTTAAGAAGAAGTTTCAGCAGGTGTTTGAAAGAGATGGCATTTTAGCTAGCTATCTAGCTATAGTCAAACTCAGGACGAAACAGGGGCTGCGGCCCGCCAGCGGGCGCCTAATCTTACTATTGACCCTTCTACAGACATCCATCCATGACCAATTGACCATAAGTCGTCCTCTCTCTTTCCAGTTTCCACCCTTCTTCCTCGGTACCTACGTTTCCATGTATGTGTAAATAGATATGTTTGAAGAGTTTTCAAACCGAATATTCACATAAAAAATTTGAACATGCAGGTGTATCTACACATGCTACAAAAGTTGGTTAGGATGAGTACTATATATATAGATGCATGAAAATACTACATCATCCTTATGAATAGGCCAAACAAAGTCGGTCCCATCTAAGCTCGAATCGGATCAAAATCCACCCATTTGGAACCAGACTCGATATTTCTTTAAATGAAGGAAATATGAAGATTAGACTATAAACAATGTAGTCAAATTTATGTTTGGGATATTGTGCATGATATCGCTTTCATCTATTTTATTTTACATGTTGTTTAGCATTAGCAAGACAAAGTTACTTACGAAGCAAGAATTAATCGGCAAATTTGTTGCTCGTCCAACAACATATACTTTGGCAATATGGGAATCCAATAGTTGAAGATTTTAAGTTTTGATAACTCTTGGTAGAAATGTACTAGTTTTAAGGAAAGCAAAGAAAAAACCCTAACGAGACTTCTTTCTTAGTAGAAAACCCTAATAAAACAAGATATGAAATGAGGATAAATCTATTGACAAGATATATACTCTCATAAATTAAAAAATATAAATCTATTCACAGGAAAATTCTTAGTGAATAAGAATGAAGACAAATTAACTGTTAATTGTATTAATGAGGATGATCTAACGGTTGAATCAATCGATTGATTTGTCATCACTAACCTAGTTATTAAATTAGTCTATCGATATATCGCTGATTAATAATAATAATAATAATAATAATAATAATAATAATAATAATAATAATAATAAGGAAAGCAAGAGGGGCAGATACATGCACCACGAGGTGGAATATGAATGCAACTTCAAGGAAGTAACGTCGAGGAGCGGCTGGGTGGTCATGCGGACGCAGACATGCACTACTAATAGTACACTACCAATCCAAATGTGGAGACCAAAAGAACACAGTTCGTATTAAAGGGAAAAGCTTTGCCTTTATATAATGCTATTGAGAAAGAATAAGTAGCAATCAGTCAAATCCAAATTGGTCAAAGAAAAATAGTAGGTAGGTAGTAAGGAATGGGAGGAAAATAGCTCGCTTAGAATCGAATTAGAGAGACATTAATCATGCACGTGATTTTATATGGACTAGCTATAATTAAATGATACAATGAGACTAATCTCATGTTAATTAAAATGGGGCCAGCTATATATAACGGTAACTGTTGCTAGTCCTGGCTTGATTTGAACTAAGATTAGTTTTTCTTTTGGGGTGAAAATATAAAAAGATGTAATACATCTATAGAAAGTGGATCAATATCCTATGATAATTTATGAAATTGCTAAAATGGATAGTGATTTTTAAATGAATGTGTTTTTCTTCGTTTACTCGTTCAGATTGAGTTGGTCATGTCTAATTATGAAGGGTAATTGATGGACCTTATATATTAGTAGACGACGATGATTGACGTCCCCAAACAACTTTGTTTTGAGTTCTAAATGTACAAGTTTGGTTGGGGAGGCGTTGGAATTGGAATGTTCAGGCAAATAGTATTCATCCGGTTTTGTGTTGCTGCTGCCTGGTGGTAATGCTTCCATGTTTTCTGCTCTATATTTGTTTAGAGGAACAAAATATAGTGCGATTCAAATATGTAGTGATATGGTGAATAACCAACTCAATTAGATAATTGTGGTGGCATTGTATTAATCTTAAGAAAGAACATAGTACAACAATTAGGCATGTGCTATTGACTTGCCCATATTACTGATTAATGTATTACTTAATCTTAATTAGGCAGATTAATCGTCTCCAATGAAAACAAGGAGGCTAATCAATGGGAGTATACTAGTCGTTTTTTGTTTTTGTCATTTTCTTGCCCATATATATTCTTTTAACCCGAGAGCTAGCGGTCAAATTCATAATCATGAAGCCGCCTCTTTTTTCACCTTCCACGTCTCTCTCCAAGAAATCAATCCGCTGATGAAGGCAACAAGGCCATTTTTCCCTTATCACAAGACTATTTGATTAGGAGAATAACATGTCATGTGTGATTATAATATTCCTCAGTTACCAGCCGCTTACGACACCTTCCATTCCCCCACCACTATATATATTTACACACACGCACATCTTCGTTTTCCCACTTCTACTTTCATTTTCTCAGCTCCCAAACATCTTTAATTTCTTTCCCCCATGGAAAAGTTTCAGATGTTGTTCCCTTCCTCCTCCTCCTCTTCTTCAGCTCACCATCAGTACTACGATGATGATCATCATCACAATAGTATCAACTTCTTGTCATCATCGTCGTCACCACCATCATCCACGTCAATGAATGATGGTCCATCTATGATGACCATGGGGTCGAGCGCAGCAGATCATGATTACCATCATCATCATCAGATCAGTACTAATAACGATGATGGCCGTCATCAGGAGCAGGTTGTTAGTGTGGCCATGGGGCAGCCGGGAGCAGCAGATCAAGGAGATGGAGGGAAGAAGAAGAAGGGAGAGAAGAAGGTGAAGAAGCCTAGGTATGCTTTCCAGACGAGGAGTCAAGTCGATATCCTTGACGATGGCTATCGATGGAGGAAGTATGGCCAAAAAGCTGTCAAGAACAACAAGTTCCCAAGGTACTAATCTTAATTCCTTCCTAACTTTTTACTTCTCGATCCATGGCTTTCGATTATAACATAGTACTAATCTTCGTAACTTTTTACTTCTCGATCCATGGTTTAAACAATTTTAAATATGAGATACAATTTAATTTAATTTGATAAGATCTAACATATAACGATAAGAAACACAGTTTCTTGTGATAAGTAACGGTCTTCAATAAGCAGTAGCGAAGCTAGGTTGAAACCAGGAGAGGTGATAGCCCTCATCAACATTGAAGTATAGGTAAACTTACATGTAAAATCCGTATAAGACTTAGAATGCAGAGTAGTCGCCTAATAAGTAAGACCTTACCTTCTTCTCCTAAAACTAACATGATTCAAATTAGTTCTTCTCATTCAAATTCCTGAAATGAGAAACTTTTAGTTGATCTGTATATGGATTTTTCCGACCTTTCATTCGTATAAAAAAATTCATGAATATATAAATTCTTCTCATGAATAGCAACTTAGGGAATCAGATCAACTCTCGCGTCAATGTTCAATGCAACTGTTAAGTGAGATTATAAGGGTCGTTGGTGCAGAACAAACGAAGACAAACTCTTCCTACGCCACTTAGTTAGACTGAGAGATATGTTCTTTCTCATATATTGTATATCTTATTGAACACTTGCTCTATTGTGATCACTATTAATTTGGGATGGGATTAGGTGCTAACCCTTATAGAGGTTAGCACCGTGATAACTAGCAAAAAACGCTACTAAAAATAATGAAATCACTACAGATTATTATAAAATCAATACAACATCTAAGCTAAATCACTACTAATTCAAACTAGTAGTAGTTTTTCCCTTGGTTAGGACGATGCTAACTATTGTACAATTAGCACCGTAACCGTTCCCCTATTAATTAGCTATAAGTAGTAAGTGTATCAAATGGTTAGTAATAGTAAAATATTATTAAGCAGATAATTAATAGTAACCCCAAGAGATTTGGCGGGCGGATAACTAGATACTCTGTATATATCTTATTTAGAGAATTAAGTTAAGTTGATGGGGAATTAAACTAAACTAATCAACATGGGTATAAGATCTATAATTCACATGGGAATTAATGATTGATTAAGTATCAGTAATGACAGTCGAGGGTGATTAGTCTCCATCGGTGGATGTGTTTTGGAAGTTCTGTTTGCCTTGTGAGTTGTGATCATCATATATTAATAAGCAATTAGAGTTTTGGATCATGAAAAACATGAACCCATATATAAAAGAGCACTTCTACTATGCTATATAGTATTGGTGCTTTAATGTACAATTTAAAGTTGTACCATAACATTAAATGTATAAGTTTAGGTTGTATCATAAAACAATTTGTACCATTATGTTATGGTACAACTTTACAACTTGAAGTTGTACCATCACATAAAGGTACAAGTTCAAGTTGTACCATAAAAGAATTTGTACAAAAAGTATAGGTACAATATGAAGTTGTACCATAACGTAAATGTACAATTTTAAGTTGTACCATAAAGGTAAAACCCTATAGCACCAATACTATATAGCATTGTAAAATTTCTTTATATAAAATACATAAAGATTCCCTCCCAGCCTACTTTTGTAGAAGACAGCAAATTGGCTACTTACATGCATGCATTGATCATTTTGATGTGTGAGTGCTTAAGCTACATACAAGTACATATGAGTTCTAACAAGATTATTAAGTGAGTTATTGTTAAGAATCGGGTATTAATTATCTTCAATAAAATATTTATATTTGAATCCCGATAATTCGAATGTTAAGGGGTGATGATAAATTATGTACAATTGATTAGTTATTGGTGACACAAGATAAATATTAGATATCTAAAGTTGATTTTCAAGTCTTCAAGCAATTAAATATGCTCTGTGACACTATCCATCTATAATACAAAAGCAATGGAGAGTGAGTAAGCTGAAAAATTGAGCCCAATGGATTTGAACAATGGTTGGAGAGGGGGACCAAAGACTCAATAGCTACTCTATTTTTTTAAATTTGTTACAAATGTATTTATGAGCCACTTATACAAAGTGATCGAGTTTGCAAATTCCATATTAATCTGAGCTAAATGAAGCACACTTCATATATTATTGTACTTATATATGATGTCAAGTATCTATCTCCACTACGATAAACACATTATAATCACGAGAAAAATGCTTGATACAATTCAAAATCATTGATAAAGTGGACTAGCTAGCTAGGTAGCATGTGTGTGTATATGATCGCATAGCATGATCAAGTTCTCAATTGACATAAAACATATAATGAAATAAATGTGGGTGCAGGAGCTATTACAGGTGCACGTACCAAGGCTGCAATGTGAAGAAGCAAATTCAAAGGCTGACCAAAGATGAAGGAGTAGTGGTCACAACTTATGAAGGCGCTCACACCCACCCTATTGAGAGGCCTAGTGATAACTTTGAGCACATCTTGAACCAGATGCAAATCTACACACCCTTTTAATTGATGATGATGATTATTATTATTATCAATACACTCCTTCTTTTCTAATTAATCACTCAATAGACATATGTTCTTTAAATCATTATATAAACATAATATTTATTAGTTATAATTACAACTAGCTTTTGTTTTCATTTTTACCAATTAATTATTATGTAATTTGATACCATGTACATATTATTTTATGTATCAGCCTATCATCACAATGGGTAAATTATTAAGTATATGGGAAAAAAGTGCACCCTTAATCTTTATAAAATCTTCAAAATTATTAAAGATAGTTACCATGGAGACAACATTTTTCATAGTAAACCAAAAAAAAAAAAAAAAGAGAAGATGAGGTTAGAAAGTCGAAGAGAGTGTCAAGAACTAGTTGGTTTTAATAACTCAATTGATCATAATATATATAAAATATGTATATTGTAAAAGAAAACACACGTTTGTAAATAAGATGAGAGTCATATCCATATTCAGAAAAGATAAACCTAGTAGTGGGCAATGGCGGATAGTGGGTTAACTCGAAAAGTAATTTTCAACTAACCTTTAAGCAAGTAGGACTAACATTTATAATAAGTTCCTCATAGAATCAAATTCTTATCAATCTTCGTCATTTAAATGCACGTCAGGAAGAGGTCCTTACTCATAATCCCTCACACTGAAGCAGTTGATAAAATTACTCAAAAGGGGTTGGAGGAGAGACAACAAATAAGTCTAAGAAAAAATACAGAACAAGCCTACAAGTTGAGCTTGAAGAAGTTTGGAGTATATTTCACTTTCGAAGAGCGCCAATGCATGAATCGATGTTCAACTTGAAACTCAACACAACTTTTATTTCTTAACCGAACAAAAGAGTATAATTCATTAATTTCTGGCTAGAGCATCAGAATGAATATACCTAATGATTGAGCATTACAATTTACAAGGAAAAAGTGACCAAAATTCAACGAACTAAGTATATGCTATCTCAACTAATTGATAAAGTTTCGAACATGAACTATTTAATAGTGGCTTAACTAGAATCCCGAGAGGGCTAACTATACATTGCAAGTTTCCTTCTTGCAGTTGAGACTCACTATTGCTTCTGGCTAGCTATCGACATATGTCATGAACATAACAACAGACAATAGAAAACTGGTATGTTGAAATATACTGCTACTAACCACTGTATATATCATTGACAATGAGGCACACAGTATAAAGCTGGTATGTTAATAGCTAGTAATCGAATCTCCACTAATGTCATAAACATATAGACATATCAACATACGAGAGCCTGAATAGGCATCTGTTCGGCATCACACAAAATTGGTTCTTGTGTACCATCTACATCAGAACATAGAGCTCGCCTACTCGAGCTCACCTGAAGCCTCCTTGAAGAAGAACCTCATATACAAAGAATGAAAGAACAAGAGATTGTCTCTTCTATAGCATTGTTCTTCTATTGTATGTACCATCATTTTTTGTATCGTATGTACTCTTATTCTTGTCGACGTTCTTATACACTAGGGATGACTGTGTTGATGCTGGTGAAAGAGTGGGCATGAGTTGGTTCTGCCGGTGATGGTGGTGAAACAAATACGTCTCTGGTCAACTGTGACAGTTGTTGTGGTGGTGGTCATGACAGTGATGGTGGGTGAAGGATTTTCTGTCTCTGTACTGCTTAAACTTGTTGTCGATGTAAACACAAAGGTACTCTGTTCCTGAAACAAATAGAGAATCAATGAGGAAGTGGACTAGCTACCTAGCATAAGTGTGTATATGATCTCATTGTGTGATCTTGTTCCCAACTGACATATAACATATGTAGAACTAAACGTGGCTGCAGGGGCTATTACAGGTGTATATACCAAGGTTGCAATGTGAAGAAGCAAGTTTAAAGGCTAACGGATGAAGGAGTAGTGATCACAACTTATGAAGGCGCTCACAACCACCCTATTGAGAGGCCTACCGATAACTTTGAGCACATCTTGAATCAGATCCAAATCTACATTCCCTTTTAATTGATTTTTATTTTATTTTATGAATATACTCCTTTTTTAATTAATCAATAAAGATATATATTTTCTTTAAATTATTATTTAAACACAATAAAGATATATATTTTCTTTAAATTATTATTTAAACACAATAAAGATATATATTTTCTTTAAATTATTATTACTAGTTATGCTTACAACTACCTTTTATTTTCATTTTTACCAAATTGATTAGTGTGTAGTTTATTAGGATATACATGTGTTGATGTATCTACGTATAATCACAATCACAACGGGTAAATGATTAAGTATATGTAAGAAGAAAATAGTAAATATAGGATCTATAATCTTTCTAAAATATTTGAATTCAGTATACCTAGTCTATTTTATTTCTTAACATGAAAAGTCTATTTTATTTCTTAACATGAAAAAAACATAGTATAATTAGTTTCTAGACTGGAGGCATTATCATCAATCTATACACTATAAATACACCTTTCATATATCCACCAGCATCTCCATCCTCTTCTCATTTTCTTCCTTAGAGGGTGATGATGATGCATCATTCCCATAATCATTCAACCATTATGAAGCTTCGCTAAGTGCAATCTCAACACTAGTCTTGTCATGTTAATCTCAAATGATATTAATAATATAATCACTTTTTGCGAGCGGCCTTGACATCGAATGTGTATCTCTTTAATCAATTCTTTGCTTCAACACGCTCCTTGATTTTCTTGTCTTCCTCGGCCATCTGTTCTGTCTCTTTTATCATCCTCCCAATCTCTTCCACCGTAAGATTTACTTTGTAGTTATTAATAAGTAATAAATATAAATTCAAATTTCTCCGCCGTGTTGTTCTTGCATGTTATGTTGAGTACTCCGTCTGCATCAACCTCGAATGCAATCTCGATTGTAGCAACGCATATGCACAAAATATATTATTATGAGTAACAACTAAAATTTCCAATTATTCAGTGCACGCTTATACTGTTGGTTCACCATGTGCATACCCTGACCATAGACTCATATACATAGTAAATAGGATTATTTGCTAAAAAAATATCGTTACTGTATATGCTCCTACAATAGGGAACGTTGGAGAGAGTACTCCAAAGATGTCAACATGTGTTGCTAATCGGCATGTGGGCAAAAAAAAAAAAACTCAAATGTTAAGTGGTGATCATAAACTCATATATAATAAAGTTATTGGAAACTAAAGGGTTGTTTGGAGGTTGGGATTCTCCAAATTGAAGTATTTAATCAATTTGTGTATTATAATTTGATGTATTGATTAAATGTATGAATTTGAAAAATAATTTGATTATAGGTTTACACAATGCTTTGTTATAAATGAAAAAGTAGAGGGTAGACAATCCCTTGGTCACAATCTCACATTTTGGTAGAGATTGATAATCACTCATTTTGAGTGATTGTGGGTGGATCCAGAAAAAGGTAATACATGTATTATATCACAAATTTAACTGGAAAAATGACTTAATCTTGACATTACATGCATTGGCTAAATACATCGCTTCAAATCCCAACCTCCAAACGACATCTTGACATAAGATAAGTAATTGTAACAACTATTATATTTCTCCAATTTTTATAAACTTAATATGTACTTTCAATAACTACACAAAGTGACTAGTTTGCGAATTCTACAACCTTGAAACTCATCAAAACTTTTATTTCTTAACCAAACAACAAAGTATAATTAATTATTTTCTGGCTGGAGCATCAGCATGAACATAACCTAATGGGTGAACATTACAAGGCAAAAATGAGACCAAAATTTGACGAATTTAATATACGCTATCTCAATTAATCGATAAAACTTGGAATAGGAACTATTTGACAGTGGCTTAACTAGAATCCTGGGAGGGCTAACTAGACATTGCAAGCTTCCTTCTTGCAGTTGCTTACTTCTTCTCTTCCTTGGGAGTTTCTTTATGGGGAACCTTTGTTTCTACTTCCTTTGGTGTTGCCTTCTCAGTCCTGAAAATAACGCAAATACCATGCCATTAGCCTCTCGGATCATAAGTAGATCACATCAAGAACTGCAAATTGAGTGACTCAATACTCCAAATGATCGATTGAACAAGCTAAAAGAACAGCAAAGCGGAGATATGATCTCCCCATGTGTACTATTCCTATGGATTAAACAATCATGTGAGCAACACCATAACAGTAGGAGGTAGCATAAGCAACACCATAAAGGTTCAGACGAAGTAATCTATTGGAGTTTCACTGCATGATGGTTTACTACCTAAAGCTTTGATAAGACTGGCAACAGCCTAAAAGTGTGTTAAGAACCTTCATTACAACAAAATTAAATAGCACAAGCTAGATAACCAGTCATTTCAAGTCGCCAAAAGAGTAGAGTATTTAAAGTCACTTGGACTATGCTTGTAGAAGTCACTACTAGAGAGTCGTTACGAGTAATTGACTATAGGCAAATCACAAAGCATTAAGAGGAATAAAAACTACAAGGCAATGAACAAATATTTCAGATTTTCAAACTGCTATTCTTCCCTTCTGATTCAAGTATGAGTGACTAAGTAGCTCTATTATGCCTTCTGTTCTCACCATTTCTTCCCTAAAACAAAGGCACTTCTGTCCCGACCACCAGGAAACCAGAATCGCAGAGCAAGTGATTTTCAGGAAGGTATAACTTGGAAGCTGGACCTCAAAAGGGTACCAAATCACCTAAGAAAAAGTGAGGTCATGTACCCACTTCTAACTCGGCAAAAGGGGGCAAAACACAAGAGACTGCCTTAATACAAATGCCTACTTCTTTCCCATCTTCTCTGAGGTCTAGACCGTACAACAGCAATCCAAAAAGTGGGAAAAGGGAAAATCCGGAGCATAAATATGTTCATAACATAGACGAAACAGAACTACAAGGTCATCCTATACTATGCAAAAGGGTTCTCCAGTATCGAGAATATACTGACTATAGTAACCACAAACTCCAGGTAAATTATCAAACAACTATAGTTCACAAGCAGACATGCATATCCGACTCTCAACTAGGAAGAAAGCAGCACAGTGGTAGCACCAAATGTTACTTGCTAGCTCCCCACCACATATCTTCATGAAATTCCGAATCATAAAAGCGATTAAGAACAAAGCTCTTCCAAATCTGTACCAGTCCAGAACCCACCCAATCAAACCGCTACACGTTTATTGAACTATCGTTATCTCTTTACCAAAACCGATTTTCTCAAGGAGAGAAACTGGAAGCAAAAGAGATTCACATTCAGAAGTTGGATTCTGTTCGTCAATAGAATCGAAGCTCAAACAAATTACGCGGGAAATAGAACTTTTACCCACCGCAAAATAAATAGACTTACTTGGAAGCGGCGGCTGATTCTTCTTCGAGCCAGGTGCGGATGTGCTTGACGTTGCGGCGGAGAATGACGGCGGACTGCTTGACGTCGCTCCTCAGCAGGAGAACCACCGCGCTGACGCCGGCGATAGTGAGGATGAAATTAGTCAACCCCATGTTAATCCCGCCTCAAAGAAACTATCTACCACTGGTTTGCCGCTAGCTGATCGAATGGTCTCTTGAGTATTGGCAATGGTGGAAGAGAGCTAGGGTTTTAGGGAAGGTTTTTGTTGGCAGGCAGACGAATTTTGCAGCTTGGGGAAGAAGCTGCCGTCGTAAAAAAAAAAAAAGATACGCCTTCATTTTCCGTTGGTAGCAAAGCAGCGTGTCTTTCGGACCAGAAGGCTAATTGGTTTTGTCCCTGGGCCAAAAATTAAGACAACGGACATGTCGGCTCTCGGGCCTTTGGGCCTGAACTCAGCTTTGATTCCCTGGGCCGAAAATATACGATGTGATTGGCTGCTTGTGTTGGAAATTTTGAAAACATTTTTTTTTCTCCTGATCTAAAAAAAACTCTAAAATATGTGTTTTTTTATCTTGATTGCATGGTGATGTATCGGTAGTAATTAGTAAAAATATTGTATATGGCTTAATGTTGGCTTGCGGAACTATTTTATAATAAGTATTAAAAATGAGATTACTTGTGCTTTTTAGTTCTGCCTTTGTATTTGTTTTGGGTTACTTTCGTCACAGAGAAATATTTGTAATATGATATTCACTACATATTTAGTGATATCTTTTTATCAATTGTTCTAGAACCAAGTGAAGTTTCATATTTAATTTCTATGGCGAGCTATCTAAAGAGTTGTTGTTAACTTGGTATGCTTTTATACCTTTTTCCTCTTCTCTACAGACATCTCTGTATTTGGAAATTCAGCAACTAATATGCAGATGACTGAAGATTCATGTTTCTAAAGTGAATTTGTCAAATAGCTCAAAACTAGTATACTTGAACTCACATCATCATGGTGTATTTCAAGTTAACAATACTGATTATGTCGATATGGCATATAAGTGATTCAACACACTCACATCATCATGGTATACTTCAAGTTAACACACTCCCTTGAATGAAATTTTGTTTCAAATGAAAACTTTCACCACTCACATAATTAGGTAACGTGATTGTAGGACCGAGGCAACCATGCAAAGATAAAGAGCTACTTAAAAGGCATTGGTGATTTGGAATGTGGAATTCAAATCTTCAACCTTTTTGCCTTTTGTACTCTCTTTCCTTCCTGTTTTTTTTTTCTTTTTTCCAATCCATCATCCCAACGGGAAAAGAGCCGTATATTGGTGTCTTGTGCAATAAGAATCCCTGCGATAACAAGTTAACAACAAAAAGTAGCTTTGACAAAAATTGGAGATAAGCTTTGTGGTTGATGCGTACCCAAATGGGGTCAGCAGATTTTTTTCAAAGATAAAAGAATTCTCTTCTCGTTTGTCTTTGATAGACGACAAGGGAAAATACCTTCAACAAATAACTTCCTTAAAGAAGGGATCTTAGCTAGCCACCTAAATAGTCAAGCTTAACCAATATGGAGTGGATACAGACTTCAAAAGAGGAAAGTTGAATGTATGCTTTTTTTATTAGTTGGAAGTGGAATGGTCTTAAACAATATGCAAAATGTACAAATCTAAAATGATGCCCACATTTATTCCTCTAATGATGATCGAACTCTTTGATTGTAGAATTTTTGTGGATATATTTAATGTGATGTGACATCTATATTAGATGTGATATTTTATATCAATACCATTACTTATAGTTCGATTGGTAAACATTGGATGTTGGTGGTCAGCCATTATACTAGAGTAACTAAATTTAAAACATTTTCGTGTGAGAAGAGGTGAAATATCATAGATAACTTAATTAGTTGGTAAAAATGAGATAATAAGCATAATTGTTTTTGTTCGCTAGATTTGTGAATAATATTAGAAGCCGTCATTGTACATGTATGATCATGTACGTTACTCTCACTTATCGGATAAGCTACCGAACATGTTTTTGCTAATTTGGCTTGAATCACGAATGATAATAAACTAATGAAATCAAATAAAATAACATATTTCAACATATTAATAAAGATTATGTGGAGAAAATGGAAGTAGCTCGAAGGATATGCTCATATGCTAGCATCAGCAAGAGGGATCAATGTAGATAGAATATGTAGAAAAATAAAGGGTATAAAAAAGAGGAGGCCGGGACAATAATTCAGAGGAATGGTATAGGAATTGAAAGGGAATAAAGAGAAACAAACAAACAATACACCATGTGGTGGTTTCGAATAGGACTAGACGTACAGGTGGAATATTTTGTCCAATTTACTACATTTGCAGTGATGCCAATGATAATTTGGTTGGAATCTCTCTCGTTTTCGTCTTCTCTTTCAGAATACTATTTGCATAGGTATTAATATTACTTTGTATTTTGAAAAATTGTCATCGTGATTTAGCTCGATATATTTTAATTTATGTGTACTTGCATAACCAATGTTCAATATAATATTTATTTTAAACGAATAGTCTCGATAGTTCTGTTAACATCTCAATTTTTTACCGTGCAAAATTTCAAACTCATACTCGATTGATTTTGATACGAGGAGTACGTACAAGATCGTATAAAATTAATTTCTACACATATTCTAAGTTTCTAACTAATTGAGTTATTGTATAATTTTACTGTGTGAAGCTTCAAACTCATACTCGATTTTTATTTATTTATTAAATGGATGCAACTGCACCTTCCTTTCATTCAAACTCATGCTCGGTTTATTTGATAAGAGAAACATATAGAAAAATACCATATAAAATTCATTTTTGCACCTAATTCTATGTTTCCGACTGCTTGAATTATTGGGTAAAACCACCTAGCAGCCTCAACACTATTTCGTTTGTACCAAAATATGGGTGTTGTAAGTAAATAAATGTACTAATTACAAGTTTGGACAAAATATATAAGTTACATGACCCAACCAACTGGCACAAAAAGAGAGCATTTGTGAGGAAAAAGTGCAATATTCTTATATATCCACTATTTCCAACGGTTATAACAGTGGTTTAGTATTGCGCTTGGAAATAAAAGTAAAAAAAAAAAAATGCACACCAACTTTGAAAAAACACAACTTCGATGACAATTTTGGTTCAGAGTAATTTGCATGTTAAGTCGACAAACATTATAGTTTGAAAGGGTTCTGATCGTTTGATAAGATGCACATGTTTCTTCGTCAATTTCAAATGAATTTTGACATGCATTAACTTAACATGTTTAAACTTTTGAAATTATTCTCAAACGATGATTACCTCAACCGATTTGGTGCTCGATCATATATCAAGCTGAGTTAAGAAAAAATTTGACGAATACTCAAATTGTTGCAGGTTTCAAATCAACTCAAAATTAAATATTGATCCAACATAATGATAGGTTAATATAAGATCGGCTCTAAATTTCTCTTAATTACTCAAATCAAGAATCCGAAATAACTGTATATATAGACAAATATGTTACGAAACCACTTATAGAAATGTCTTTTTTATACATTGGAATATATTATAACCATCCACATCATCTCCCTTCTATACTAAACTTAGACGTATTGCTTTTTAGATATTTACGACGTACGTCGGCCATATACTCGTGTATATATAGGGCACTCAGCATCCCCTGTTGATCCTATCTTCCCAACAACACAAACAACCACACACACTCCACAACTTATAACCAAAAAAAGGGAAAAAGTACTTCCCAACAAAAGTTGAGTGATAAGGTAAACTAAATACTATCATCAAATGGAGACTAACGGCCGCAAGAGAAAAGGGTTCATGAAGAACAAATTGATGCCATTCTACAAATCACCGGCGTCGGCGAATCCGCCGCCGAGCCAGCAGCCTAACCCCAGAAACAACGTGCAGTACTACAGCCAGTCCACTACAACAACAACAACAACTATTTCTCCTTCATCGGCGGTACTACTCCCTCACAACACGGTGTCGTTTCAGGCCGCGGCTGTGGAAGTGAAATTGCCAAGGCGGCAGCAGCAACAGGTTGATCATTGTCCCAGCAAGTTCTTTGGGGTGGTTGGGGATTGCAGAATAGACACCAAAGCTTCTACTTATATCTCTGCCGTTCAGGAGCGGTTCAAGCTGGAGCGGCTCGACCCGGACCGAGTCGTGATCATCGATCAAGCCTCATGATGATCGTGAACCCACGCTATAGCTCGTTATATATGATGTCATGTAGTAGCTTATTAATTTCGTTGAAATGCATGCACGAGTTGATGGATTGTCTCGGACAACGATCATATCATTCAAATGGAAGCATCCACTCGAGTGTTTTCGAGATGGGCCATTTGGACTAACCTCGACCGAATCGATATGAAGTTCAGAAGCTCTAAAAGAAGTGACTGTTTAACGATTTAATTTGATCTGTATTTGGTTCAGACAATTCCTGGCTATCTATTTATACTTAACCAGCATGTACTAAACAATGGTGTTTAAAGACCAATAATAACCTTTTAGTTTTAATCCATTACTGACTGACACTGTGACACAGACTCCAGTACCTAGCCTATTTGGGCCATGGCCCATTCCCCTCTGACTCACGCTCTGCGAGTGTGACAGTATCACTTTTGTGGCTATCAGCTATCCAATTGTAATAAAACTGTGGGCTTTCAATTGTGGCTTTCAATTGTAATAAAACTGTGTACTATTATTGAAGTATTAAAAATATATGATGTATTTGGTAATGTTATATGCAATGCAGTCAAAATAGCGTTTTAAAGTTTAAAAACTAACTCTTTTATGTTTTCAGGTCATCGAAACGCTTCTATGTAAGATCACAGTTCTTATAGTTAATATAGTTAAAAACGCGTTTTAAAGCTTAAAAACTTACAATTTTACGCTTCCAGATCACTAAAACGCTTCAACAAAGAAACACGCTTTTGACTACATTGGTTATATATGTATGTAATGGAAATCGTGTATGTCATGTGTATAAAGTTGTTATGTGATCAATTAAAAGTTTTTTATTGTAGATAGTGTAGTTTAAATAGCGATGCATCGGAGGCCGCAGTTGGTATAAATCAATTAGAAAAAGCTGTAACCAACCGGCTTTAGCCCGCCAAACAAACCAATCCTCGACGACCCGAGGAGTGGCCTAACCATAATAGCTTAATGCCGCCTCAAGTCTTTACTGTTGGGCTCAAAACATCTAAGAGCCCATCGCTAGCACGTCGGCCCAATTTCAGCCAATAAGCGTTATCTAATTGATTGTGGAACAACTTATCTGCTCCAGATAGGAAGTTTGGTCACTATTTCCAATTTTATGATTGTGGAATAGTTTAAGTTCATTTAGACAAACAAATTTAAGCGGCCGAATTGTGTTTAAGTTCATCAAGTGAAAACATCTAATTGATTTTAATGTTTGGAATATAATGGATAATTTATATAGACGGAATTTATATGCACCTGCCGCCTTAAGTCTTTACTGTTGGGCTCAAAACATGTAAGAGCCCATCGCTAGCAGGTCGGCCCAGTTTCAGCCAGTAAGCGTCATCTGCTCCAGAGAGGAAATTTGGTCACTATTTCCAATTTTATGGTTGTGGAATGGTTTAGGGTCGTTCAGACAAACAAATTTAAGCGGCTGAATTGTGTTTAAGTTCATCAAGTGAAAAAATTTAATTGATTTTAATGTTTGGAATAAAATAGAGAATTTAAAAAATTGATGGAGTTATGCAATTTTCAACATTTCAATCCTCTTTTAATGTGGTGGATTTGTCAATCTATCGTTGGATGGACTGGACAAAACGAACACAAAATAGTTGTCTAAATTTCCTCAATGCAGCAACAATATTAATAATTTCATCCATCTAAATTTTGCTCATTTTAACGTCCTGCCATAGTTGCTTGTGCAAATAATTACTCATAACAATACTAATAACCTCCACTAAAATCACATGAATGACACCACAACATACTTATACAAATAAGGATACAAGCCATGGAAGGGACTAGGGAGGGATGGGAGAGACAACAAGGGGAAAAAAGGCCAAACCCAACTACTAGAAATGCAAGCAGGAAATTCAAGGAAGCATAACAATAACATCAGTATCTCTTCCCCCCAAAATGTAAGTGCAGCAGGATCTCAAGTGATTGGTCTCAATAATAATGGACTGCAATCCATCCTGAGTTCTACCTTTTGGAGACCAGCTTCGATCAACCAGTGTAGATGTGGACTCCCACCGCGATGAGGAAGATGGTGATGAGACCAAAGTAGATGATGGTGTGGACCAAAATGGATATTGGGCTGGTCTGAAAGTTGCAGAGGCCGATCACCTTGCCATTCCCTGGGATCTGGCAGAGCAGCCCTGGCGTCAGTATGACGAACAGGATCGTCGCGATTAGCACCGGCCCCCAATCCGCCATCTCTTTCTTCCTCGACCGACTCAAATGATCAAAAAACCCCACCTGTAAAAATGAAATGTAGTACTGTCGGATTGACAGAGAGCGAGAGACAGAGGAGGAGGAAGAAGAATGGGTTGTCTACTGAGGTACAAATAGTGGGAGAATAAGGGAGAAGCCTGCAAAAGCCAAAAGGGGGCATATACATGGGAATGGCGATGCATTCCAAGGCAACATCAAACACTCAGGTTAGAGGAAGGACGGCAAATTTGTTTTTCTTTGGCCGAGTCAAGATATGATTAGCAGCTTAGGGTGTTCTGTTTCTTCATTTCTTTAATATATAGTAGCTTCATCTATTTGAGGAGATATTTTACTATCCGTGGTCTGCTTTCATAGATAAAATATGAGTTATCACGATTCTAGCGGTCGGTCGTTTATCGGAATTAGCATCAGGCCAACATCATAGTCGGTCCTGATCTATTCGGAACACGAGTTAACATGAGCAACAAATTTTTCTGGGTGAGTGGTTTGAGAGTTTTGATTCACTTGGTTATCTGTTTTTCTGTTTGTTCCTTCTTGATTCTTGTTGTGTCTTGAACTCCCCCCATACACATCCAGAGATGTTATTCTATTCTATTGGCATGCGACAAGTACGAAGCCCAGCTTTCATACCGAGATGTGAATGCAAGTAACGATGTCTATTAAGAATGACATAACCGAGGTTGCTGGTTTTGTCTCTTTGTTTCCATTCATCAGTCCAAACATGGCTATGGTTTGGTTTCTGGAGCTATGCTCCTAGCCTCCTACTTCCTACAGTACCACTACAACTGCAAAGTGCAAACTATGTTCTTAGTGGATCAACGAAAGCCCAACCCATTTTGACACTTCTAACCCGGAATTTAAAATGGAGCCTTGGAAGGAATCAAGGCCCGCTTCAGCTTGCCCAAGTCCAATATAATGGTTCCATAAGCTTCTACCCAAGACCACTACAATTGGCGTTCAGCTCTTCTTCTTTTGGGCTATTGCAGAAGTCGCATTTGAGCTTCCTCCGTTAAACAGAGAGTATGTGTATACAACACCCTAACCCTAAATTTCAAGTACATTATTAACATTTGTAAACCATTTACAAACGAATATGGTGTATTGCATGTCACGAATCGGAGGTGCATCATCGACGTGGCCTTGCCAGGCACAAGAGAGAGGTGTCTCACTAGAAATGATACAGGCAGAAAGACATATACAGACTAGTTTTGACTTGAAAATGAGAAGCAATTGGATTGGAGTGGAGTACAGAACAGGCTCCTTCATATACAAAAAGAACTAGAACCCTTCAAAGCTAAAGACTTTTAAGCCTGCTCACAGAAAAAAGATTCAAAATTCAAAGAGGAAACTGAGAAATCCCTACAAAATTCCAGACAATGAAGCAAATTCAGAAACTCACACCTTCCAGGACGATGAACTTTACACCTCTGCTGCTCTGCACAATTCACAAGCTGGCTTCTTTCTTTCTTTGTAGCCATATTCCCTTTAATAAAGCCACCCTTCTCCATCAATTCCTAAAGCAATCACAAAGAAGCAAAGAAAGACAGAAAAGCCAGTCTTCAAATTAACAATATCTGGTGTAATTGAGACACTAAAGTTTCATCCTTTTTCTCTTTTGCTGCTTTAAAGGAATCCCACTACAAAACCTCTCTACATACATACATATACCTTCCCCCTCCATTGTTTTTCACTCTGCTTTCACACAAAGTTTCGCATCCCCTCCACAGCCTCCTTAATCACCAAGCAAGGCGCATTACTTCTGTTCATCTCCTCAGCTCCCTACATATTTGACACAAACAGCATTACCCCTTAAACCTTTCATTATTCTTCCTTGCCGGAAAGAGATTGGGAGAGTGTGATATACTAGAAGGGTTCAGGCAGCATTCTTCTGCAAGGTCGATTGAGAAGCAAGCAACGACGGGCATATTAGGGATCCCCAACATGGGGGGTGCGGATTGGGGACCAGTGATTGTAGCGGTGGCTTTGTTCATCCTGCTATCGCCCGGGCTCCTGTTCCAGCTACCTGCAAGAACAAGGGTGGTGGAGTTTGGGAACCTCAGCACGAGCGGGATAGCCATTCTGGTCCATGCCATCATTTACTTCTGCATCATCACCATCTTGGTAGTCGCCATTGGCATCCATGTACATATCAATTGATTACGAAAAACCAAGTTACCTTCTCTTTTGCTCTGTAACAAGAGGTTTTATTACTTCTTCAGTTTCTTGTTATGGGCGTCTTCTTCCTTCATCTTCTGCTAAGTTATCACAGACAACAGCAATTGTCCAAAGCAACAGGCTTTTGAGTTTGTTTTTGTTTTTTCACCAAGGCAGGCCTTACCATTGGAATATAAGAATAATGTCAACAACCTCTCCCTCCTCCCTCTCTGACTCTCTCAACAATGCTCAGCTTTTACCTACTCAGCAAATTTTTGGCTCCAAGTCAATCTAAGATGCTCATATTTTAATTTAGTCTGTGCTAATGGCCCTTGGCACTAGCAGATCTCATATCTCATGACCCATAAAAGTAACCTAAGAGATCTTAATTGGTGCTTGTTTCACTCTATAGTCTATATGCCTGCAAAAGTTTACACTCTAATTCTCAAATAACAGCAGATTCAGTATTGCGCTCTCTATGCTATACCTGTCCACATAAACAGAAAGAACTCCTCAAGAATTGAACTAAACTGACTTGGAAAAATGATAGTTCCAACTTCCAAGTAACTCAGAGATCCCAACTTCAGCCTTGGTCAAACCCGAAGAGCAAGTGAAGGGAACACAATCTGATACAGAAACTGAAAAAGGAGAAACAGCTGAGAGAAAGATCTCTGCATCATATTTGCTTTATTCAACTCATCACGTATCGATCCATCCATAAATTACAGGTTACAAACAACATAAGAAGAAACTAAAGACAGCACCCTTTTCAACTTTTCTCTACCCCCCAACAAATTTATCAATAATCATACCCCAAAAAAGAGAGGAAAGCACAGATCTTTACTCAAAACCCAGAACCCCAGATGGCCAGATTTGTGTCAACCAGTATAGATGTGGACATGAACAGCCATGGTAAAGATAGCATACAGAGTGAAGAAGATGAGAGTGTGAACGGCGATCGATTTGCCATTGGTCTTCATGCTCCCAAACTCGAGCTGCCTGTTGTTTCCTGGTAGCTGGAAGAGAAGCCCTGGTGTGAGTAGCACGAATAGGACTACTCCTATCAAGATCGGGCCCCAGTCAGTCATTGCAGAGGAAAGGAAAAGGCTTGGAAATGAATGAAACGGAGATAGAGGAAGAACTGATGCAGCAAAGAGAAGAAGAGGCAAAGGAGTTTTAGCTTCGGAGTTAAGAATGAAGCGGCGGGTAACTGTCAGTTGATTAGGATGGAAGTCAGGAGAAAAATGAGAAGGGGATTCCTTTGAATTAGACACTAGAAAAGCGAATATATCGTGGAAGCACTAGCGACGAGATTTCCCCCCAAATTTGTTCTGTGGACTCTGGTTAATTATTGGTTAACTTGCTAAATAGCTTGGTTATGCTCTCATTATTGCAAAGATGAAGCAAAGAATGTGGTTAAATATCAAAATTATCATCAAAATATTTATATGTGTCGCATTGGGTTCTCTTAGATTTATTTATGCACAATTAAATTACCAAATGATTTTTTGTAATGAAAAAATCATCAAGTCGTCACTTTCGATTTATCGAAGGTATACATTTTTTTTGTTTGGTTGACAGTAGTGTTTCTACCATCAAATTACCAACATAAATATTATATATGTCATCAAAGTTGATTTTAGAAACTAAATGATAAAAATATAGTGAATTTGCCATATAACTTGTCATATATTAATGCGTTCACTAATCAACGTCGTATAGAGTGTGTTATTTCAAATGTTTAGCAGGCTAAGACTAATGGGGATCAAGTAGGTGTAGGTTTTATCTCATCTTGAAAGCAAAAAGTCCCTAGTGATGTGGAACCCATCTAAGCCATGTTATAGAGGTTCTAGGCCAGAAATTGTTAGTGGTCCAAAGACCAACAAGAAGACCAATCCTGCAGCTTTAAACGGTTTTTGCGGGGGTTTATGGATGCTTGTAGAGGAATGTCCAAAATGGGAAGAGGGCAGTCGAAATTCGTAATGCATCAGAATGTATGCCAATAACATTCCTAGGGACTTTTGCTCTTACAAAACATAAGGGAAGGCATCCAAGTACGCTAAAATTATTTGCTCAGATTCATTATCTGGAACATATGTCAACCAAATCTGTAGAAAATGAGACAAATGATCAACCACAATATTATCTTTCAAATTACATTTGGATGATGTGTTGTTGGGTGATGCAATAGTTGAAACAAAAGAAAAGGTGTCAGATAAACCTATCTTTAAATAAAATGTAATTCAAAGGATGAAAGAACAGCATACTAAAATCAACAAATAGAAAGAATGCCACCACAGCTTTGCACTCATAAGCAGCAAAGGAGAGGCAGTAGCAAGCAGCAGTTGGGTGGCCTACTAAGTACTAACCATCATCACTCTTTTTCTCATTCCTTCTCCTTTGACTGATCACTGGTTCCTTTGTTCTTTCTTCCTCCACACCTCTTTTTATAATAAAGTTCTTGACTTTAATGATGTCGAAATAATAATGGTAGGTAATGATGTAGCCATTGCACTATAAACTGACCAACCATACTGATACACACATGGCATGTCTGATAAATGTCTCCCCAGTATTTTATCATCTCAATTCTCAAGGGGCCAAGAATGGGTTAGGAAATGAATACATAATCAAAGAATTGGGAATAACAATATGCCCTTTTGCCTCTTGAAAAAGCATGTGATAAAAAGTCTCGAAATGGAACAAATTCAATCCCTTGTTTCATGGGGAATCATATTCCATTCACCAATTTCTTATGGTTTTATTGGCTTGTTGTTGCCCTCAATCACTGCTTCTGTTTGGAAAGAGCACCAACCCATGAAAAGGGCAAGTCCTCATAAATATACTCCATAGTCTTTCATTCTTCAGCCTTAGTTTTGCCTTTTCTTCTACTTCAACTTCTGTCTTCTACTTCAGTTTGGTTCTTCAGCTCTTGAGAGGTTTAAAAGATGCATGACTGGGCAGCACCTCTAATAGCAGCAGCTTTGTTTGCATTCCTGCAACCTGGATTGCTGCTTCAGATCCCTGGGAAGCATAGGCCAGTGGATTTCTTGAACATGAAGACAAGTTTCCCTTCCATGTTTGTTCACTGGCTCATCTATGGTCTGCTGCTCATCTTGTTCCTTGTTGTTCTCAATGCTCACCTCTATGCCTAAGATAGTAGTAATAGTGGTAGTAGTCATATAGAGAAGAAGATGTTCCAGCTCCCCTTGATTTTGTTGAAGGATTTTGGATTCTTGTATTGGTGTTATTTCTTTGCTCTTTATGCCTTGTAAGTTTATGTCCCGTAACTCTTGTCAAGCATATGGAACAATCTTTTACGGAGTAGATTTGTAGACTAGCGATACTCGAGAGACTCTTGAAAATATGTGTTTGAATGGATTCGATCCAAGTTCAATTCTCATAATTCTTATATAGCATAGAGTTCCATTGATGGAACAATTGACAATCTTTTACATGCTCAAATGAACTGATCATTCATCGAGCTTTTTAATTAGAATTCAAACATTGATTGATTTGGTTTTGGTTGTCAAACTTGATCATATCCGTCCTCTCCTTCTTACTTAGTGTGGGAGTGCATCGATCTAACTTTAATTCTCTTAACTTCCTAGCATAAAATCCTATACTATAGGATTGAAATGAATTGATACCATAATTGGTAAAGATTGAAACAATTATCTCAACAACCACCAAATGTACACACTTCACACTATGTTCAAGAGTTACAATCCAGAGCATCATTCCTTTTAACTTACAATTCTCAATTCTGGTATACAAACAAAAACTTTGACTTGCACCAAACGAAAAGAAAACACATCAGAAAATGCCAATGAGTAAAAGGGGTTTCTATCTTCCCCATTTCAGTCTGTAATGAATGAAGCCAAAACAACATTAATGAGAAGGTTTTAGCTTAATCAAGTGATTAAGCACCTACATACATATGGATACTAGCAGCCAGCAAGAAAATGCACATAAAACAGAAGTAAAGAACGGCATGAACCAGAACTGAAGCCCCACTGGTCTGGAAGTTGCTGAACTCCACGTATCTGGCATTGCCAGGGAGCTGGATCAGCAAGCCTGGTGTTAGGATTATGAACAGCATCACTGCAATGAACACTGGCCCCCAGTCTATCATTTTTTCCATTCCCTTTGCCTTTCCTTTTGTAGAATTTTCTTGTGTCCTTCTTCTTCTGGTATTGAGTTTCCCTCTGTTCACTTTCTCTAGGATGAAGTTATGTGGGGGTTTATAAATGGGTTGAGAAAGTTTGGTTTATTAGAGGATGATGATGAGACTCATAAGAGATGAGACAAAGATTGAAGGTTAGGGAAAGGGAAAGGGAAAGGGAAAGGGGAAAAGAGGAAAGAAAGGTGAGGGTATCAAGCAATTGTGTTTCATACTTTTTTTCTGTACCACCTTATGAAATGCTCAAAAGCACATGCACTACTATGGGTCCAAACTTCATAATGTTAATGAAATGCTGATAAAGATAGAAGAGTAAAAAGGGAAGGAGGATGTTGTTTTATCGAAAAGATTTGTAATCCGAAGGTATTTAAAACAGTTGCGGACAACAATGATACTAAAAATGAAATATAAATCAAAGAGAAAACTTGACTAGACCTTTCATCAATTGCATCTCAATCTTCCTTTTGGTTGCATGCTCAGTTTTTATATTTTACTAATTACATGATTATCTTGTGTTCCAACCAATGTTATTAATGAATCACCCCTTGCTTTAAGAAAAAAGATGGAGAATGAGATAGGATAGGGAAAAGGAAAATTTGTGGAACTGCTTCCTTTGTCGTTGGCAGTCTGTAGAAAGGAGCAATCAAAGTATCTTTTCTTTCTCTATGCTTATGACATGAAAATCCTATTGTACCATTCCTCCATCTCTAGATCATCTCCATGATTACTCCACCTCCGTAGCAAAAAGTGAGTATGAATTTCTTCTCTGTTTTAGAGTTCGGTTATCAGTTTGTATAATTATAATTATTTTATATAAAAAACATAATTTATTGTTGTCGGAGATCAAACTCGAGTCACATATATAACAAAGCAGGAATACAAACTCGAGTCACATAATTTATAGTAAATTTGACACTCAAATGATCTTGACTCGTTATACAAATGTCATGGCTAATCATTATATTCGTAACTCTTGATATGCATTGCTTGTATGCATGCCATCTACCATCATTGCTGCAAAATATTCACACAAAAAGTATTTTAAATTAGGAACATGGATTGGACAATTACACAAGGGAAGACAAAAGGGAGAATAAAGAAACCCATTCAGCCACTCTCCACAAGTAGAACAAGAAGAAAACAAGATTCCACGTACATCTACTCTTCCCGCTTAAAAGCCAACCGTTTCAGACTTCAGATGGGGTAGTTCAATGGATTTTACAATTCTATCATCAAATCTGCATACCAAAATCCAATCCAGCTAGAGTTCCATGGTGGATTGAGAATTAAACAAAAACAACATTTGAAGGCAGAAACGGAAGCAAAATACACCATTCTCTTGTCTTCAAAGCAAAAGATGACCACAATCCATAATAACAGGAATCTAGTCTTTGGTTTCTCCAAAAAGGGATCTTCATTGTCTTCATGCGTAGTTCAATCGGAAGATATCGTTGAACACAAAGAAACTTCCTTGAGTTGGCATCAAGTGAAACATCTGCAGCAGGACACGTTCACAAACAGTTAACAGATGGAAATAAAGCAGGAACTCTGGTAGGATGTTTCATGTTCCAACTTCGAACAAGAAATGGGAAAACAATAGCCACATTATTCGATCCAATTGCATATACACGAGTCATACTAAGCAGTTCCATTGAAATCGATGTCAAAATGAATGTAGCAATTTGCAGAATGCCAATGAAGTAATGACAAACTGCCAGAGGTTCTATGAGACTAAAGCATACATCACCTTTCTATCTTGTAGCTATCATGCTCCCGAGATAATCATAGTTTGTTAACCAGATGTTACATTTTGTTCAAGATAATCATAGCTTCTCACCCATAGGATAATTTTATAAACAGGCAAGAAAAGTAGGTTATGTGAGAGTTGTTCATAACTAGAAATAGCCTAGTCTACTTATTAGTGCTCAATCTTTACAATCTTAACATTGTACCACCACCACGCTCCAGAATCAAGTAGACATATGCAATGCAGCGTGCATAGAGGCTATGCATAATGTGGCCATCACTGACCAGCAATTGATCAGCTGTCATAAATCTCTAATGAACAGACCAGCTCATCTAGGAATATCCTAGCAAACATATTCAAAAGCTTCCACTTCCCTACTTTGAATCCATTGAGATCAGTACTCCAAATCTTCAGCATTTTTCTCTCAAGTATACCACTATGTCCAAAGTAGCCGCATTCCCCCATGATGTAACCATTGAGGAATCGACCCTTTTCTTCTGGAAGGGAAACTAGAGCTCTAAGGGTGAAAGTTCCATTCTTTCCATCTAATAAACCAAATCGCACTTGCTGAAATAAGTTAGGTATCTTGGTTATTCTCAGACTCTATACTGTTAACAGCACTGCCAGATCATACAAGCAACCATACTAATAGTCCAATACAAGCAGCGATTCGAAGAACAAACAATCCCAAATGAGAAAAAGGAAAAAACGAGGCTTCAATTAGGAGCAGGCAAGCAGTTCGACGAGAGACTCAGACTACCTGACTGAACTTGAGCGGGTGCTGCTCTCCTGCCAATTGCAGATTCCCGCTGACAAACACGACCATCCCGCCAGCGGGTCCCGAAGGCTGGCAATCGACGGTGGTGATGGAGTGCTTGCACTGCTCGAAAGGAAGGCTTGTGAGCTTGGCGGCGATGTTCTGCGCCCCCTGAATCTTCTGCCCCTCGAACGTCAACATGGAACCATCCTGGTACAACCCGACGAGCCCGGCCCGATTCGTGTCGAAGGTCGAGTAGTAGTGTTCGACGAACGCCTTCGCCACTGTATCTGGATCCATCTCTCCGGCGAGCTCACTTCGGGCGGATGGGATTTCTCGGTTCTTTGTGTCGATTGGTATCGCAGCTGTTCGGTGGCGGCAGCGGCGTGACGGCAGAATGGCAGAAGGTTAGGGATTTATATATGGCGGGAGATTTGGGTTCGTTCTGGATCGTTCGATGGGATCTGACGGGGTTTTTTATTTGGGCCGCCACACAATATATTAGGCCGGGAAAATCCAACAAAATAGGCCCGTTAAAATGATGCGCCGGGGAGCCGAACCTTAGAGATTATGCGGGTGAAGCCCAATAGACTCAAGGCCTGTCTCCTTAATTATACTACGGTTATGATAATGATAAGCAAATATGACACCTAGTATAATTAAATCAAGTGTTCCTTAACCCCTAGTATAATTATTTTATCCTCACTTGCATGTGTGAAAGCTCTCTGTACTACTTCCTCACTTGCATGGTCATGTCATAATTCAATGTCATTGCAACTATCTTAAACTTTATCCTTGTGTATTGTGCCAAGGACGTCTACTGACATCTCTACGAAAATTCCAGGACATAAATTAGGCCTGAATACTCTTTATGGACTTATTCAATATCAGAAATGCAGTGTAAGTATACTTGGAGCAAAGGAGTTCCAGGAAATATGAAGATGCATGTTCTAGGAGAAAAGATGAAATCTTTCAAGAGATATTCTCAAGTAAAAGCTGTGATCTTCGAGCTATACCCTTCATTCAAACTTTTTCGTATTTCTACAGCAGCCACTTTGTAATTTTTTCCTGCATAATGTCAAATTTGATGCACATTTACTCATGTCTCATCAATTTATATTTATTTTGATGGGTGGTTAAGTTATCCAAATTCTCATTGTAAAAAAAAACAACTTCTTTCTTTTGTTAGGGGTAGAGTGCCTGGTAAGGATCAAAGTTGTATGATTGGAATAATCCCCTTTCTGGGCGGGATCTAGCCAGGCTCTCGTTTCTTGGTGAGAATAACCAGTGGGTTGATTGCCAAATGATGCTTGCCTTCTTATTCATTTGATCATTGCTTAAATATATAAAGGAAACAACTGACTCTTCCTAACTATGTGGAACCACTTCCTACTGCAACTAACAGCTGCTACTCCTACTCCACCTTATTATGCTAATTGAAAGGACCCGAACAGCTAAGACTCTAACAACTCTTGATTCATTTTTCTAATGTTAATCCTGCTGCACAATCAGCAAGACCAACTAGACTCATCCTACAAGGCAAGCGGCTAACATTCCTTCGGCCCAATTACCCCACATAATCTCGATACCTTCTATTGGGCTGGACTACTCGTGTTGAATGACGAGTGAGAGGAATAGTCTCATCATTGCCCGCCGCAGAAGAAACGACATTGTCCTCAATGTCGAGCTGGACGAAACGATCGTAGAACGTCGTCGCGGACTCCCAAGTAGCATCGTCGGGAGAAAGAGACTGCCACTGGACGAGGACTTCTTTGACAAGGCGGGATCCGCGCCGGGTGTAACGTGTGTCCAAGATGGCCGTGGGTTGAAGTAGAAGCGCGCCATCATCAGCAATTGGGGGAATTTCCGAGGTAGCAGCAGCAGGTGGAGTCGGACAGGGACGCAGCAGAGACACATGAAAAACTGGGTGAACTCGGCTGCCAGGGGGTAAACCAAGACGGTATGCGACGGGGACAATACACTCGGTGACGAGATAAGGCCCATAGTAACGATAGGCAAGCTTCTGAGACGCCCGACGAAACACAGTATGCTGCCGATAAGGCTGCAATTTCAGGTAGACCCAATCGCCGATCGCGAATTGGACTTCGCGGCGCCGTAAGTCCGCGTTCTGCTTCATGCGATGCTGCGCTACTGACAGATTGGTCTTCAGTTCATTGAGGAGCGCATTGCGGTCCAATAATGTCTGGTCCGCCTCATGTACAGCGGTTGCGCCGGGCCGATACGAGGGAATGGCGGGAGGCTGGCGACCATACAGGGCTTGGAAAGGGGTCATACCCGCAGAGCTGTGGAAGGAAGTATTGTACCAATACTCCGCCCAGGGAAGAGAGAGTAGCCAACGCTTGGGTTGCTGGTGCGTAAAACATCGAAGATATTGTTCCACACAGCGATTCACGACCTCCGTTTGGCCGTCGGTCTGCGGATGGTAGGACGAGGACATCAGAAGGGTAGTGCCCGATTGGCGGTGCAACTCTTGCCAGAAGTGGCTCATGAAAACCCGGTCCCGGTCGCTGACGATGGAACGAGGAGGGCCGTGCAGTCGGACGATTCCCGTCACAAAGTGGTCAACCACCGTGCGAGCAGTGTAGGGGTGTGACAAGGCGAGGAAGTGAGCATATTTTGTCAAGCGGTCGACGACAACCAATATCACGGACTTTCCCCCTGAACTAGGCAAACCGTCAACGAAATCCATAGAAATATCCTCCCATACCTGGGTTGGGATCGGCAGAGGTTGGAGTAATCCTGCCGGGGTGAGAGTTTGAGCCTTGGCTCGGTTGCAGACATCACAGGCGTTGACGAAACTCTGGACGTCTTTGAGCATCCCCGGCCAGTAAAATTGGGCAGCCAGCCTTTTCTGAGTTCGGAGTATGCCCGAATGGCCGCCAGCAGGGGTAGAATGGAATTCTCGCATCAGCTGCTGCACCAGGGGAGAGTTGGGAGGAATGACGACGCGCCGACGGTAAAGAACCATGTCGTTGCGGATGGAATAGGGACCCGGAGTTGCCGACCTTGCACGGGCAGTGATCTGTTGCATATATGGGTGAGTAAGAGCCGTATTTTTCAATTCCTCCCAAAGAGTCGTGTGAGGGATGGACACCGCAAACAGCGCTGCGGTAGGTGGCCGCCGACTAAGAGAATCGGCTGCTTGATTATCCCTCCCTGGTTTGTAGGTGATTTCATAATCAAAACCAACTAACTTGGAAACCCAACGTTGCTGCTCGGGCGTCGTAATCCGCTGGCCCAAGAGGTGCTTGAGACTGCTCTGGTCGGTCCGGATGATGAATCTTCGGCCCAAAATATAGGGCCGCCAAGTCTGAATAGCGGTGACGATCGCTAGCATTTCCTTGGCATAAGTCGAGAGGGCTTGCTTGGCCTTGCCCAAAGCCCGGCTCATGTAAGCAATGGGCCTCTCGTTCTGCATCAGAACTGCGCCGATCCCGTCATCGGAGGCATCCGTTTCGATGATGAAAGGGGCGTTGAAGTTGGGCATGGCAAGAACAGGCGTTGAGGACATGGCCGTTTTCAACTTGTGGAACGCCTCTTCTGCTGCCGGTGACCAGTCGAACTGCCCTTTCTTTAGGAGATTGGTAAGGGCTCGTGCAATAGAGCCGTAATCCCGGACGAACTTGCGGTAGTAGCCGGTAAGTCCCAGGAACCCTCGAAGCTCGGTGACGGTGGTTGGTCTGGGCCAGTCGAGCATGGCCTGGATTTTGCTAGGATCGACCTTGACGCCCCGGTTTGTGATGATGTGGCCGAGGTACTCGATCTCTTGGAGGCCAAAAGCACATTTGGAGAATTTGACGAAGAACTTGTGATGCCGTAGGGTGAGGAGAACCTTGCGAACATGATCTTGATGACTCTCCATGTCGGGGCTGTACACCAGAATGTCGTCGAAGAAAACCAAGACAAATTTGCGGAGCATTGGCCGGAAAATCTCGTTCATAACAGCTTGGAACGTGGATGGTGCGTTGCAAAGGCCGAAGGGCATCACTAGATACTCGTAATGTCCATTGTGGGTGCGGAATGCAGTTTTGTGAACGTCGGCGGGGTGCATTCGCACTTGGTGATAGCCGGCTCGCAGGTCCAATTTCGTGAAGTAGGCGGCACCATGAAGTTCGTCGAGCATGTCCTCAACGGTCGGGATAGGGAAGCGGTCTTTGATGGTCGCCGAGTTGAGGGCTCTGTAGTCGGTGCAGAAACGCCAGGTGCCGTCCTTCTTCTTAACCAACAATACCGGAGAAGAGAAGGGACTGGTAGAGGGTTGGATGAGACCGGCAGCGAGCATCTTGTTAACCTGTTCCTCGATTTCCCCCTTTTGAAAGTACGCGTAGCGGTAAGGTCGAACATTGATTGCTTCTGTGCCTTCCTTCAAGGTAATCCGATGCTCAATTTGGCGGCGCGGCGGTAATTGGCTTGGTTCGTCGAACAGATCGCCAAAGTCGCGTAATATGTCCTGGAGGTCTTGGGGTACAGGTCGGAGTGGGTCTTCAGCTGGCGGTGGAAGACAAAGAGCGCGGAGACTGGATTCCTCCTTCATTATGCATTTAAGGGTGGCCTCTGTGGGGCTAGAATTGGTGATGCCTTGCAATTGGCGCCGGCGGCCTGCCCAATCAAACTCCATAGCTAATGTTTTCCAATTGCTTTGAACAGTACCCAATGTCTCCAACCACTGGATCCCGAGAACGATGTCGAACCCGGCGAGAGGAATGGCGTAGAGAGTGACGGGAAACTTGGTGCCTTGGATGTTGAGCATGACATCGTCGTGTCGGCCGTCGCACTTCAGGGGCGCTCCGTTAGCGATTCTGACGTTAAAAGGAACGACGGAGGAGCCGGGAAGGTGGAGAGCTTCGGCTGTTTTGTTGTTGATGAAATTGTGGGTCGACCCACTGTCTATCAACACCACTAGCCGAGTTCGCCCTACTTGGGCCCAAACCCTCATTGTTTTTCCCCCAGTCCGGCCCGTGATGGCGTGGAAGGAAACCTCCGCCTCTTCAACCTCGATCGCCTCTTCTTCTTCGTCGTCCAACAACATCATCAGGCGAGGTTTGGCACATCGGTGGGTGGGGGTGAACTTTTCGTCGCAGTTGAAGCAAAGCCCCGCTTGACGGCGCCGATGCATCTCCTCATATGGTATGCGCCGTCCTCCCGGCGGTGGTTGTGGTCGATTGCGGAGCTGCGGTGGTGCTTCGACCGGCCGTGGTCGCGCCGCGAAGGTGGGCTCGAAGGTGGGTCGCGTTCTTGGCCGGGGCGGAGTCGTGTAGTCCGCCGGTGATCGATAGGAGCTCCTGGGTGGACTTTGATAGCGCGCGAGTTGCTCTTCACGCACTCGGGCTAAGCTGATTGCTTCCCTCAAGGTGCGGGGATTGAAGATTCGGATTCCCTCTGCGATTTCGGGTTTCAATCCGCCCAAAAAGGTGCCGACCAGGGCCTGCTGTGACCATCCTCGGACGCGGTTGCCGAGTCGTTCGAACTCAGTCTGATAATCCTTGAGCGACCCAGTCTGTTTGATGTGTGATAGGATTTCGTCGAACCCTGTGGCAGCCGAGGGTCCGAATCGTGCCCACAGTTCCGATGAAAAGCTTTCCCAGGTAATTGGGATGCCATCCGCTCTATAGGTGCGGCGGAGCCATTGCCACCATTGATTGGCATCGCCCTCCAGGTGGTATGATGCCAGTGACACCTTTTGACCCTCCGGGATCGCCTGGAATTCGAAGAACTGCTCCACCCTTGAGAACCAGACGGTGGGATCTTCTCCTGCGAAAGTGGGAAACTCCAGGCGAGCTAGCTTAGCTCCAAAGAGTGGTTGATGTTCACGATCCGCCTCTTCGTCGAACTGATTGCGACGTGGCTGGCCGTTGACAGATGCGTCGCCATCGGCGGAGCGCCGATCATCGGTCCGGACGGTGCGTTCCTGAGCTATCTGGGTCACTGCAAGTTGTAAGGCAGCCAATTGATCGAGGATTGCAGTGAGCTTCTGGTCGTTTTCTTGGCCAGCCACTTCGAGGGCTTCGATGCGGTTAGCGTGGGTGCCCATCACCGGCTCTGATACCAAGTGGTAAGGATCAAAGTTGTATGATTGGAATAATCCCCTTTCTGGGCGGGATCTAGCCAGGCTCTCGTTTCTTGGTGAGAATAACCAGTGGGTTGATTGCCAAATGATGCTTGCCTTCTTATTCATTTGATCATTGCTTAAATATATAAAGGAAACAACTGACTCTTCCTAACTATGTGGAACCACTTCCTACTGCAACTAACAGCTGCTACTCCTACTCCACCTTATTATGCTAATTGAAAGGACCCGAACAGCTAAGACTCTAACAACTCTTGATTCATTTTTCTAATGTTAATCCTGCTGCACAATCAGCAAGACCAACTAGACTCATCCTACAAGGCAAGCGGCTAACATTCCTTCGGCCCAATTACCCCACATAATCTCGATACCTTCTATTGGGCTGGACTACTCGTGTTGAATGACGAGTGAGAGGAATAGTCTCATCAGTGCCTTGCATTGTAATTTGTTCTCCCTCTTTTTTAGTGTACTTCAAGCAGATTGGCAATGACAAATCAGTAATTTATTGTCTTCTTATTCGATCCTTTGACTGTTTTGATGTATGTGTACATATATCTATAAATCTCTATACATCTCTCCATGAGAGAAATCTAACAATCATGAATTTTCCTCTTCTTATTGCACCATTTGGAGAAGCACTTTGTTCTACAATTCTCAAGAGTTTATGTTTGTGCAGTCACTCCTAATACTCCCTTGGCTCCCGGTCTTCACCCCGACTCGCCCCAACTTCCTCATCGCAAATGAAAAAGCTCCATTGAAATCGCCAGCATTCCTCGCAAAATCCAGCACAGTTGGCTGAGACCTCGGATTAGAATACAACACCTCATCCGAAGTGAACAAACCCATGCCTTCAACCAGATTCTGGTAGTAGACATTGTCGAACGTCCGTGCCGTCGTAGGGTCCATGTCGATGGCAATGCTAGGATCCACGTTTTGAGGGCACGCCTTCATAAGCTGCCGAGCATAAGTTGCGTTCAAGGAAGGATCCACGGTGGATGTTTTGGAAAACGAGTAGAGGCGGTTGGCAAAGCGGTCACAGTGGGAGAAGCCGAGCGTGTGAGCACCGGACAGCGCGATCATGTCGAGTTGGGTGAGATTGTGCCTGGCGAAGATGGCATTGAGCTCAGGCAAGGTCATGTTGGGCTCCGGCAGGTTTCCGGCCACGAGGGATGCATTGGAAACCATGCCATCCCTTCGCCCCAGTTCCACTGCAAATGATGGGCCTCCAGCCTGAAAGTGTTCTTCTTTGTTAAAGTTGGTATAGTTCAAAGATTTGAGTCTGCGTAGAAGTATAAAAGAGAGTCGAAAAGGGTCATTACCAATGCTACAACGTCACGAGCGGCAATGGCCATGATGTCTGCACAAGAGACAACTCCGGGACATATGGCTTCCACCGCAGTTTTTGATCTTACGATTGTGTCGAAACCATCACCGGCGAGCGAAAGGTTGTCGGAAGCATCTTTCTCCGCATCTCCATTTGGTGACGCCACCATTACTGACGCATCGCAGCCCTGTGAACCAAAGGGGATTGGTTGGAATAAGCCATTACTACAAACCCAAAACATGCATAAGCTGCTAAGTAAATGAGTTATGGCCATGTTGGTAAAATCAGATTGGTTGGTCGTATCTATTTAATCATATAGGAAATAAGAAACAAGAATGTATGATTTGATTATATATTATCACGGTTCTGGACCTTAATTTTTGCCATGACCAGTTAGATTGCATCATAGTTATTGAATTAGGTGATCTGTTTTGGACCAAATCAAGGTTCTCAAGTCAACAACCTTGTCAAGTTCTTAAGATCCCCAATTGGGTTCAAGGGTGGACCATTCCAAGTTCCAACACTAATCAAATAAATCCCTATTGTTGCTGCGATTCGAATTCCAAAATGATGCCTATGTTTCATCAATTAATTAACAATTATTGAACACAAAACTAAAATTTTGCTCAAAATACCTGCAATTGCTCTGTAATTCATTTTAATACTCCATCATATTGAGTCCATATTCGCTAAAATAACTTGATAACTCACATATATACCAGGTAATTTCGAATTTGTATGCACATAGTTAATCATCATTAAAAATAATCAAACTACGGATATAAGTTTTGAAATGAAAGGCTAAAAAATATATGCAGAAACCAAATATGCCATTTTGCTAACCTTCAATGGACTATCTAATACCTATATAGGCAGGCTAGCTGTCATTAAGTTAAAAAAAGAAAGAGTATTTTCGTGTCAAAAAACAACATATATGCATAGACTTTTCTTTGGCAGAACACTTACGGTGACAAAGCAGTCATGGAAGAAGAGGCGGAGAGTGGCGGGGATGGTGGTGAACTGCTGGCTGGCTTTGGTCGCCACCGCCTGCTGAACGATGGCCTCCACGTTCGGGCAGCTCCCGGCGTAGAAGTTCTCCCTCAGCAGTCCTTGTCCCGCCGTCGATGATATGCCGACGGCGATGATCAGCACAGCGATCATCGTAATGCTGGCCGGCGCCGTCGTACTGTTACCATTGAAGGAAGTACTTCTTGAATATCCCATTCTGGACTTTGACTGCTTGTTCCTTCGGGACGCTTCTTCTTCTTCTTCTTCCCTTTTGGTTTCCAATGGTCGTCTAGAGAGTAGACATATATATAGATGAAATGGAGGGAGAGGGGAAATTAAAAGAAGGATTAATATGGTGACTAGGTCTGGCTTGGCTAATCAGCCTCCATTTTCCCCACTTGCCTTTGATAATGGGTTCTTTTCCCCCATAGAAAGGAATAATCCTACAAATAGTAGAGAATTGTCATTTGCTTATTGTAAATGGTCAAGAATTCAGAAGAAAACATTATACGCAATTGTCGAAAGGAGCACACTAACACAAGACCAACATAAAAATAAGTTTAAGTTATTTATAAAAGTTTCATGGTTGTCTGGTTGATAAACATATGCTACACTGATTAATTATAATTTTTTTCAATCAACTATTAAAGATTAAGAATGCGATTATATGGAGCCACATTCATCCTAATTATCATGAAAATGAATATTAAGTGGTGACCATCCTTATACTTTTTTTCATTAGTTAATTATGTTTGTGAATTGTGACCTTTGTCCCCTCCAGTAAGCAATTTCCCCCATTAATGAATTAAGAGATCACCAATTTGGAACATATGGAATCCATTCAGATCCAAGTTCTGATAGTCTCCTCGATATCTTCAAGCAACTTCCCACAGGCAAAAAAGAAATGACAAAAAAATCTTCTGGGCTGTGCATTGAGAGCCATGTGGCTAGATTAAAATGAGCCATAACTAATAAAAATTAAGATGTTATAAGAAAGAAAAATAGAAACAGAAAGGAAATGTGACTATTAATGTAATAGAGCCGAGTGATCTTGTTTTTAGCTAGGGTAGGTTTATTTATTACAAGTCAAATTCCCTAAGCCATTTTGGCATTTTGTATTGTTTTTTATTTAATAAGCTCTTTTTCTTCTTCATTTGTTGGTATTTTACTATTTTTCTAGATGAGATTAGGTTTGGAATAATGTCACCACCCTGCCAATTGGTTTGCTTGTGACATACAAATGACAACGACCAAATAACTAACCCCAAAAGTCACAACTTTGAAAGTACATGAAACAATCAGAAAATTCTTCACTAGTTAAGGATACATTAACAACCAACACGTTACATATGTTGGAATCTGGTTGCACCATACTAGTTTCCTTTCTATAGAGTATAACATTTTTTGTCTTTGTTATCTTCCTAACAGAGGAAGAAGAAGCTTGAGTGATTTGCTATGGTATCAAGGAAACATTGGATCGTGGATTCCTTCTTTAATAATCGATAATGATTGTACGTTTATAATTCCAATGATGAAGAAAAAGAAATCTGCTCAGATTGACATTAGGGATCCTCTATGAACAAAAAGTAATTAATGAGAACGACAGATGAAGCAGACAACACATGAAACATTTAAGATCTAGTTGTGTTTTGGTCATTTTCCTCTAAACGAGCGAAGTAGATTGTCCACTCCCTTGCCGAATTTCAAACTTATATCCGTCTGTTATACTGTTAAATATAATCGAATTCAACTAGTTAATATGGCATAAATGATCCAGTTTGAAGTTGCTTAATGATATTCGGTCAGGTTCAGATAAAAAAACATATTTGAAGCAAAAAAAAAAATGTTTAGTGAGAATCAATACCCTTACCTACTCTTAAACAAAATTGGGCAAAGACAATATATTAGCCATAACTATTAAGCAGCGGGGAATTATAGCCACAACTATCGAAATACAAATTATTAGCCAACCGCTAAGTTTTCGTTAACAGTTCTGTTAGTAATGATGACTAAATTTTTACGATGCTGAGCTGGCTCCCACGTGGCAGTCATCATATAATATTTTTTACTAATGCTGACATGGCCTTCTCCGTTAAAAATTTGAAAACAGTAACGACTGTTAGCCAAATCTTGACCCGCAACAATAGTTATGGCTAATAATTTGTATTTCGATAGTTGTGGCTATAATTCCCCGTCACTTAATAGTTATGGCTAATATATTGTATTTACCCAACAAAATTTGGCACTTGTGTTCCACAAAGAATCCATGTTCAGTGCATTCATCCTTGCATCAATATACTTGCTCAAAAGCTATCCCTAGTTGGCAATATGTAACAGATTCACATGTGCAACAGGCCTTCTCAAATCAATCTTTGTTTTCCATTTGTACCATATTTTATGAGTCATGAATGGGAAGGGAACCCTACAGCCTAAAACAAACACCTCTACTCTAGAGCAAGATGTCAGTACATAGTTACATCTATTCCATTTCAGATAGGACAGTCCAATAACTTCTTTTTCATATAATATAATCCATTGAGCGGTTACTCATCAATATTTCCAGCGCAAAATTCATATGGGTTTAGGGCCTTTAGGCCCAAAACTCAGGCCCAAAAAGGGACGTAGTAACGGTAAAGTTAACAGATCGTAGAAGAATAACAAATGCAGTTTTTTTCTTCTTCTCATCAGTCATCACCCAAGACAACACAAATCCAGAAGAATTCGCTCATCGTCCCGTTTGAAATTCCATCTACGGAGCTGCAAAAGAATCCGACGACGATCCATTCTTCCCCATATTTCTATTGACTGCCGGAGAGGACATTCGCCATGGCCATGATGGTACTCGACGTTGATCCGAAGGCCGACTCTGGCTTCCCGTGCTGGAATCCAGTCCGCCGTCGCTTCGCGCCGGAGTCTCCTTTCTTCGAATCTGGCAACATTGAGCGCGAGCTTCTCGCCAAACAGGTTCGCAACACACAAATCTTCTCGGATTTTCTTTGTTCATGGATCATTCTAGGTGCAAATTGAAAGGGTTCGGAATTTTTTACTGTGTGATTTCGTTAAGATAGTGGCACATTTTGGAAAATGATCGAAGTTTCTGTTCAATTGATCTGGCTGTTTTTGTATCTCATGCAATGGAGGGAAATCGTGTTTTCTGCGGTGGATATGGAATTGATTTTGAGTTTGGGATTGAGGCTATGGTTGAGCTTTCAGCTGTGTCCTTCCATTTTTGCAGATTGCGCTGGATTTAGGTGAGGAAGAGAAGCATCAACTATGGCGTCTGCTGGATGAAGACTGCAAGTATGTGCCCTAATTAAGAGATGTGATCCATTTCCTGTTGTTCTGGTAGTTTTGAAAAAAGATCCTTATAGCGATTTCTTAATTAGGGATAATCGGATGGCTTTGATTCGCAGATGGATATGTTAATCTCTTAGGTTTGCTGATACATTACAGTCGCTGATGTTGTAACGATGAATGTGGTTCTTTCTTAGGCTGGCCGAAACAGACCTTCTGATGCTTTGAATTTTTGTAATGCAATGAATCGATTAAGCTGTTTCGACATGCCTGAACCCGAGAGTTCCCAAAAGCACTGCCTTATCTTTCATATGTGTCAAATTTCAAGTGTAGATTGATGGTGTGTCTGTGTTTGGTGCTAACATCTTCTTTAAACTCAAAATCTGCTTCTGAGCAGGGATCTTTTCTGTCCCATTGTTGGCTGTCGGGCACGTTTGACATCTCTGGAGAACTTTGAAAACCACTATAACTCGCAGCACGCTGCAGCCTGTTCAGTATGCTACAAAGTCTACCCAACTTCTCGCCTACTCAGCATACATATATCCGAAGCACATGATTCCTTCTTCCAGGCTAAAGTTGCTCGTGGTTATCCCATGGTAGATCTCTCTCTCCTTGCCTGAGCATTCCTAGCTTAAATGCGTATCTTCGTGCTGGCCATAATGGGTCTGATATTTGCTTACATTGCTGTTCAATGTTTGATATCATTGTGGTTTTCTGCCACAGTATGAATGCTTGGTGGAAGGCTGTGGGTTGAAGTTCAAGAGCTACAAGAGCAGGCAGCGGCATTTGGTGGACAAGCATAACTTCCCAAGTTCATACGACTTCTTCAAGAACAAGGCAGCCCATCACCCGTCCAAGAAAGCTAGGGAGAAGAAGATCCACCGCAAACAAGCTGCTACAGCACACAAACGCGAGGAGGTCGAGGAAGAGGAAGGGACGACGAACCAAGAAATGGATGTGGAAGGCGAAACCAGCGTCGACAGCCTAACTTCAGCACTCTCCAACCTGACCACCGGTTCCACCCCTTCTTCAGTATCATTTGGTCGACGCAACCCTCGTGGACTCACATTCGTCCCTCGATCTGTTCATCAGCGCAATACCAAGAAGCCGGAGGATTCAACCCCACCACCATAGAGGGTCTCCCAGCATTTTGTGGTTCATACAACCTTATGATGGGTAGTAGCTCATATCGTATTAGTATTACATGGGCATAGCTTCATTAAAGCTTTCATTCCTTTCCCACACTGCGCCACTGGCTGAACTCTCTGCTATCTCCTTGTTGTATTGAGCTTATTAATTCACCACTACACTGTGGCAACTGGCACGTTTTGTAATTCTTTATACTGAAGAAGGATGCTAATGTCTTATCAGATGACGTGGTTGCTCAAACTTGAATGGCACAAGTATCCGAATGGGAACGGAAAGCAAATGAATAAAAAGATCTTCTACATAAATGGTCACTAAAGTTTGAGTCTCTAACAAATTAGCTACGGAAGTTTATAATGATATAATCAAGTTTTTTTGGACGAGTGGGTCAAGCCAAGGTGTCAACTTACCCAAATTAAAGACTAAAGAAAGGTTATATAGGCTTTGTAATATACTTTTTTTTTAACAAAAGATATATATTAATCAAAAGAAAAAGATAGTTACATCCTGAAACTCAGCCAGGCCCGAAAATCAACAGCACGACAAGCAGCCGGGTACATCAAAAGGGCCTTTCTACCCACCAAGTGGGCTACCTTATTACTACGCCGACCTACAAATCGAATACTCAAACCAGGATGGAGGGCACAAATTTGCACTACCTCGCTAAGAACAGCCCCCATCCTACTATCATCTACTTCCCTCCGCCGAATTTTATCGATAATTACCTTGGCATCCCCCTCAAAGCGAATCATACTAAACCCTTGAGCTAAACACCACTTCACAGCCTCCCGAAGCGCCAGGAGTTCAGCAATCACCGGATCATCAATAACTGAGAACTGAACCCCTGCAGCCCTCAGGACCCCACCCTCTGAACTGAGCACCATGCCCCCTGCAGAGTGGGAGCCTGATTTCGTCGCCCCATTCCACCGACAGACAAGACCAGCATCCCCTTGCGGAGCCGGATGACTTTGCAATCCACCCATAGCCAAGCCAGGGGTAATATACATTTGACATGAAAAGGAACAAATTGGAGTTGGACAATGCATCTTAAAATTGGATCAAGAAACAAGTTTAATTTTTATCAAATTTAAGTTTAATTGAGACATTCACATAAGCTCAATTCGTATTATATATTTATGTTAGTCATTTGTTATTCGTTTGATTGGTTTGTTAAGCTATTAGGTAATATATTTTATAAGTTAGATGATTAGGCTAACATAAATAAAAATATGAGTTATATTAGAGAATTCATATTGTACTTTGTAGGCTGTAGCGACAAATTTGTTAGAAGTAAAGAGTTCAGTGATCAGTTGTTTAGAGAGTACAAAATTTAGTGACCATTTGTGTGATGACCTCTTGATAAATACGCGTCCCAGAGCGAACATATCAGCTCAACTAGTCTTCCCGTCGTCGCGTGAGAAATAGAGAGAGCGAGAGAGTAGATCGAGAAAAATCAGAGATGGACGCCATTGACAACGTCTTCGATCCTTTGAGGGAGTTCGCCAAGGACAGCGTCCGACTCGTGAAGCGTTGCCACAAGCCCGATCGGAAAGGTAAAAGAAATCTTTCCCCAATTCTTCCTTTTCCAAACTGTCCCTTTTGACGAGATCTGGAGCCGGCGGCGGACACCTATCGCCATGGCCCGATTTATTTACCGATTTCGTTTTTGCTGGTCGCAGAATTCTCGAAGGTGGCAGTGCGAACGGCGATTGGTTTCGTGGTGATGGGATTCGTAGGGTTCTTCGTCAAGCTCATCTTCATCCCGATCAATAACATCATCGTCGGATCTGGTTAGATTCAGCTAAGGTAAGCTTCGATTCCCCTGGCTTACAGTTCGATCCTGTTTACTGCAATTCAGCTCTAGTAGATCTAGTGACTGGTGCCTTAGGGAATTGAGGTAGTGCAGAATACATGCATTCAGTACAAAACTTATGCTGAAATTCTTTTTATCATTATGAATGTTGAATATATGAATGATGACAATCATTAGCATCGTTGGCCTGTCTGGTAGTTCGCCTATGAGCTGAAGGGTAAGCTTGGAGTTCCAGGCTTCGCTCCAGCTAAGCTTAATTTAGCTCTAATACCTGATACAATGATGCTGAGCATCCCATGGTCAATAACTTGAAAGAAATTGAATCGTGCTGGGAATTTGGCATATGTAAGTGCATTTTCTTGTTTGCTGTCTTTGGGTTTGGATGGATGCATGGGGCATTGTGTTTGTTTGTATTTCCTCCCCCTCTTTGGCTACTTCAGCCAAACACTGCTGCGATTGCAGATCAATTGGGGTTTTAGATTTCGGATTAGGGAATATCCGCATTAATACCATCAAGGTTGCATTTTCTTGTTTGTTGTTGTCTTTGGGTTTGGATGGATGCATGGGGCCTTGTGTTTGTTTGTATTTCCTCCCCCTCTTTGGCTAGTTCTGCCAAACACTGCTGTGACTTAGTGATCAATTGGGGTGTTTAGATTTCGGATTAGGTTATATCCGCATCGATACCATCATGGTCGGATCTGGTTTGATTTGGCTACTAGCTTAAAGTTAGGCTGTAGTTCTCAGCCTTTCTTCCAAGAGTTTAGCTCAATTCTGCTCCAATACCCATTCCCAATGGTTGGTGGTAACTGGAGGAAATGAATTGTGCTGGGCGATAATCTTGTTTCTCTTTGGTTACGGATGCATGTGAATTGCCTTCATTAGTTTTCCCCTATCCACTTCTGCAAGTTCAATCAAACTGCTATTTGTTGTTGAACAAATTTCTTCTTAAATCAGCGCTTTCAGATTAATAGATTGATTGAAACACATAATTTGTGCAGGTGGTGTTGGGAGGCATGGAGCAGTTGCTTGGGAAGTGGTTGGTTTGTCTGGTCATTCCTCTGTATACTGGCTGCAGCATCCTAGAGATGAGAACGACTCAAAAGTTTAGGAAAAGTAAACGAGATAGTTTTGAATGTACTCTTCAGTTATTGTTCTACATGTTTAAGATTTGTCAGACTTGAATTTATGCTTTGATGTAGAATTACTTTTCTCTTGGAATTAATCTCACCATTTGAGTACCTATCTAGCTATTTCTTTTTGTTTAAGCACAGTAAATCTGCCGATCAGCCAATCAATTTCATTACAGTAAAAGCGCAGTAAATCTGTGTATTCTCCCAAGCGAATCAGCCAAACAATTACGTAACATAGGATGCAATAAATCTGTGTACTCCCAATTGAATCAGCGAAACAGTTAGATTACATAGGATCAAAAGCAATAACAAAAGTGTTGGCTGAGCTGTAAAACTGTGTATTCTCCAAAGCGAATCAGCCAAACAAGTACGTCACATAGAAATAGAATGCAGTAAAACTGTGTACTCCCAATTGAATCAGCGAAACAGTTAAATTACATACGATCAAAAGCAATAACAAAAGTGTTGACTGAGCTGTTTACATTCACACAATTGACATTGGACGGTACAACTTGATCAGCAGACAGGGTTGTCTTCTGCCGCATCAACATTGGAAGCAAGAACCAATTGTGGCTCCGGCCGTGCAAAGGTTCTGCCTTCCTTCTTGGCCTTCTTCTTCTCGCGCTGCAGCCTGAACTGCTCTCGCTTCCTTGCTCGATAGCTGTTGGGGTTCTCCGGCACAATTTCTCGTGGGTACACACTCACCTGAAGAGCCGACAACGCCAATGTCGACACTACTTCAAACAAACCAAAAAATCGGGAGGGATTTGAGAAACTTGATTGATTACCTTCTTCCTGTCAGGACCGTACTTCTCGAACTTGACGAGGCCATCGATCAGCGCGAAGATGGTATGATCCTTCCCCATTCCCACATTGTTTCCTTGATGGAACTGAAAGATGAAGCAAGAGGAATAAGACCAAATGGCCATCTGCATAAATATGAGTCACAAGAGCTGCAATCTGCTGGAATTCTGCAACTCCAGCTGACATTACCAGCCCGGATACCCAATAAATCGTTCTAGTTCTTTGTTAGATGAATAAACCCATGAAAACTTTCTGCTCTACCTATTCAACTCAATCCTCCTACAGTTCAACAACGAAACCATCATTTGGTTGCAGCCGATTTCCATTAATAGATCACAATATGGACATAGTTGCTCTCAGATCATGAAAACATCCATTACCTAGCTAGCCTTACCTCATGAGGAGTTTCATTTGTATAAAACGGTATGAATTTTCTATCCAAAGTACTAAACTATAATTCACCAGAAATCCTACCAAATTCAAATCCCTATAATTTAGTATTGTTCAGATAAAATTGGCTAGCTTAAAAAACTAGCAATGCCAATTGAATCGAGTCTAACCTTGGTCCCGCGCTGGCGGATGATGATTGCGCCAGGCTTGGCGAGCTGGTCGCCGAAGATTTTGACGCCGAGGCGCTGGCCGGGAGAATCTCGGCCGTTCTTGGTGCTCCCCGCTCCCTTCTTGTGAGCCATTTCAATCGTCAATTGGAACGCGCCCTTTCGCGGCAGGGACACGGAGTTCTGAGGCCCCAGGCCAGCGAATCCGCCATTGAAGAAAGCAGAATAAGACGACGAGGAAGAGCTGGATGAGAGAGAGAGGCCCTTGAAGGAGCCTATCAGATTGAAGGTCGCGGTGGCCGCCATGGCTAGCTCAGAGCTGATAGTTCACCAAAATGGAGAAGAAGGTAGAAGGAGCAAACGTTTTCGGAAATCCAGAGCTTATCTTCGGATGAAGAGGGGCCCAGCGCGCACGTGTGACGGTGAAACAATCGGTTCGTTTTGGAATGGGCTTTAGGTTGGGCTTGGAGCAAAGACGATGAACATGGGCTTGGCTCATGGGAGTTTCCAGCCTGCATATTGGCCCATCTACAAGACATTGCGAGGCCCGGTCATAGATGGTTCTTTTATGTACACTTGTACAGTAATGTGCTCAGCTGCCATGGCTTGGAGTGAACAGTACACAGCGTTTTGCACGTTACAAAGTTTCACCTACTAACATTAGTTGTCTTCTTTCCCAACTACCAATATTGTTATCCATCCACCCTCCACTTCTCTTCTATGTTGTTTTTTGGGTTTGTGCACCATCATTATTCCCCACTCACTACTGTTAACGGCTTTCCATTTCCTGTCATTGTGGAGCCATCAAAACCCTTCAATTCAATAGTGAGGGAAACGGAAGGCGTTATATATAACTCAGCCAAAGGAAACTCCAAATTAAAACCCGGCAATGTCTCCTTGAGTTGACTTCGGTTCTTTCCTCCCTCTCTAGTCTCTTCCCGGCGGAAGAAAAGAAATTCCGACAATGGCGTACACTTCCACCGCTCCGAATCTCTCCTTCCCCTTCAAACAACCCTCTCCACTCCCACTCTCCGATCACCACCACATCCGCCGCCACACCCTCCGCTTCACCACCACCGCCGCCTCCTCCTCCCCTCTCCACCACTCCAACGACCCCAACAAGAACAAACCCCAAATTCCCCCTCCTTCCGCCGCCCCCGCCGCCGCCATCGTCGACACCACCACCACAACCACCTCCCGATTCGCCGACGACCAGCCCAGAAAGGGCGCCGACGTCCTGATCGAAGCCCTGGAGCGCGAAGGCGTCCGCCACGTCTTCGCCTACCCCGGCGGCGCGTCCCTCGAGATCCACCAGGCCCTGACCCGATCAAAGCTCATCAAGAACACCCTCCCCCGCCACGAGCAAGGCGGCGTGTTCGCCGCCGAGGGGTACGCCCGCTCCTCCGGTCGAGTCGGCGTATGCATCGCCACTTCCGGCCCGGGAGCCACCAACCTCGTCAGCGGCCTCGCCGACGCCATGCTCGACAGCGTCCCCCTCGTCGCCATCACCGGCCAGGTCCCCCGCCGCATGATTGGCACCGACGCGTTTCAGGAAACCCCAATCGTCGAGGTAACCAAATCGATCACCAAGCACAATTACCTCGTCACCGACGTCGACGAAATCCCTAGAATCGTACGGGAAGCCTTCTACATCGCGTCAACGGGTCGACCCGGCCCGGTCCTCATCGACATCCCCAAAGACGTCCAGCAGCAGCTCGCCGTCCCGAACTGGACCCGAACCGTCAATCTGCCGGGCTACACCGCCCGGCTCCCGAAATCGCCGGAGACTTCTCAATTGGAACAGATCGTTCGATTGATCTACCAATCGAAGAAGCCGATTCTCTACGTCGGCGGCGGGTCTTTGAATTCCAGCGAGGAGCTCCGTCGATTCGTCGACCTCACGGGAATTCCCGTAGCCAGCACGATCATGGGGCTGGGAAGCTTCCCCTGCGACCACGATCTCTCCCTCCAAATGCTCGGAATGCACGGGACCATGTACGCCAACTACGCCATCGATAACGCCGATCTCCTCCTCGCGTTCGGAGTCAGATTCGACGACCGTGTCACCGGGAAGGTCGAAACGTTCGCCAGCAGAGCTACAATCGTCCACATCGACATCGACTCGGCCGAAATCGGGAAGAACAAGCAGCCGCACGTCGCCATGTGCGCCGATTTGAAGCCGGCCTTGCAGGGCCTGAATTCAATCATGGAGAAGAAGGGATCTCAATTCAACCTCGACTTCACCCCCTGGAGAGAAGAAGTTGCCGATCAGAAGCAGAGATTCCCATTAAAGTACAAAACATTCGGCGACATGATCCCTCCACAGCACGCCATCCAACTGCTCGACGAAATGACTCAAGGAAACGCGATAGTGAGCACAGGGGTGGGTCAGCACCAGATGTGGTCAGCACAGTACTACAAGTACAAAAACCCTCGGCAGTGGCTCACTTCGGCGGGCCTGGGCGCCATGGGGTTCGGCCTGCCAGCCGCTGTTGGAGCTGCAGTGGCGAACCCAGGTAGGACCGTGGTCGACATCGATGGGGACGGCAGCTTCATGATGAATGTGCAGGAACTGGCGACGATTCGGGTGGAGAATCTCCCCGTGAAGATCATGGTGCTGAACAATCAGCATTTGGGGATGGTGGTTCAGTGGGAGGACAGATTCTACAAGGCCAACAGGGCGCATACTTTTCTGGGGAACCCGGCGAATGAAGAGGAGATTTTCCCCAACATGTTGCAGTTTGCTGAGGCGTGCGGGATCCCGGCGGCTAGAGTTACGAAGTTGGGGGATCTAGAGGGGGAGATGAAGAAGATGCTGGAGAGTGAAGGGCCGTACTTGCTGGATGTGATCGTGCCTCATCAGGAGCATGTTTTGCCGATGATACCAAGTGGTGGCGGGTTTAAGGATGCTATCAATGAAGGAGATGGGAGGAGTTTGTATTGATAGTAGTAGCAACTAGTAAGGATGGTACTAGTTTTTACAAATAAATGTTGTCTCTCGAATGTGTATAAGCCACCTTGTTCTCATGGTTATCTATAATTTTGTATATAAACTCTTACATTAAGAACAAGTAAGCGATATGAAACAATAATGTGTCATTTGATTTGGGATTTTTGGGCAAACGATCTCTCGTACTTGAGTTGTTTGCAACGATATTAGGTTCATATATAGGGTTTGTATATTTGCGTTTGAGCATAGATGATGATGTTGATATTGTACTAATTCAATCCTACTGTAGTCATATGATTTGTATATGGTATAACTCATAAGTGATCTGTCTATTGCTTTGTTTCGATTCTTTACATTACATTGCCCTCTTATTTCTATTTCAATCTTACTTATAAGGGTAATGACTATTTATTAGCCAAACCTTTCCGAATTCGTGTTTATTAGCCAAACCTATCAAAATACTAATAATTAGCCAAATGTTAACTTTTTAGTTAACAATTTTGTTAGTAATATTGACTTGACAACATGATACTCACTTGGAAAAGAGTTGCAAAATTATTAACGATAACGTAAAAATTTCTAATATTTTGATATAGTACAAAAGATTTGACTAATTAATAGCATTTTAATAGGTTTGGATAATATAAAATAATCTTAAAAGGGTTTGAATTATTACCCTAATTATAACTATATATAATTTGGTTTTGATAAACTTAATTCGTGTACACCCTCACGATTCTAGCTAATGAAACTTACAAAACCAAATATATCCTTATGAGATTTTACAACTTTTTCCCCATATCTTCTTCTTTTCCACATTCCATTCTCCTTGCCTGATTGGACACTACAAGCACCAATGGATATTGGTTGGGTTGCTTTGGAGTTTCCAAGTAAATAAAGAAAGACTTCAAAAAGAAGTTTCCACTTCAAACAAAGCTCCATGCGGTTTATATAAAAATTGAAATAATAAAAAATACAAAAATTCATTAACCCTTACATTAAAATAATATTTAGGACGGACTTTGCTACGGTGATTTACAAGTTACTAACTCGATCACTATAATTTGGACAAAATGGTCGACCTCTTCACTAATATGGCCGACCTATTTGGACAAAACGGTCGACCTCATTGTTAAAATGGTCGACCAGATGTACTATTTTCCATTTTGATATGTTCAACAAGCGCCCGACCTCTTCCACTAAAAGGTCGTCTGCTATACAAAAAAATGGTCTACCACTTCCATCAAGTGGTTTACCTCTTTCCCTAAGCGGTCCACCGTTTTCAATAATTGGTCCACCCGATCAACCATTGCTAGTGATATCATCATATATAATTAGAGTCCAATAATAATATATATACTTGCTAGTAAGAGATTTAGAATTAGTACAAAGCCTGCAAGCATAGATGACAAGTTTCTCGAATGATTGTTCTCCCATAGATTTGAAAAATGTTCCCCATATTTATTTATGATATTTGACTTTCTTTACAGAGACTTTCATCTTTCATTCAAATTATAAGTTTGTTTGTTTATATCCTACAGTTGTCTTGTGATGGATTAACTTTTTTGCTATTGTTGTTATGAATATGCTCAAAAAGTAGAGTTTATTTGTTATACAAGCGTGTCATCTTGAACTTCCATAAATTTGATAATATCGATTTTGTGGATTGTTTATCCAGAAGTGTTAAAAAAGAGTGGTTTTTTTTGTCTTGCCTATTATCTGCATAGGGATTTGGTCGCCCACATGTGATAGGATGTTGCGTTACTACAAAAAAAAAATATTGTTGGTTTCCAATTGTTCATTAGTTTCCTAATGTAAGTGTAAGGTAACTGTGTCATCTGATCGACCGTACATCGAAAGCGGAGATCGTTCGCCGAAAGAGGTTCGTAAACCATTTTGCGAAATTGGTAGGTTGTTTTGGCGGAAGCGGTCAACCTCCTCCAACAAGCAGGTGTAAGTTGAAGGTAAGTAAGTCACTTGCCAGAAACGGTAGACTGGTTGCCTCAAGTGGTAAACAGCCTGGTGGAAGTGGTAAACCATTTTCATGGAAAATGGTCGACCACTTAAAGGTAATTGTGTCATCAGGTCGACCAATTTTCGGAAGCAGTAGACCGGTTGCCTCAAGTGATAGACCACTTGGTAGAAGAGGTCGACCATTTTAAGTTAAGTGTGTCAACCCATTTTTGGAAGTGATAGACCGTTTGACTCAAGTGGTAGATCACTTGTTGGAAGAACTCGGCCATTTTCTTTAAAAGTAGTCGACCACTTAATGGAATAGGTCGACCATTTTCTCCAAGTTACGGTGAGTTGCAAGTCACCATATGCATGCACTAACGTTATTTATTGTTAAGCCCATAAACAAAAGAGTCACAACATGGGTCATCTAATTTACAAATAATGTTGTCTCCAATGTGTATATGATATGCCCTCTTGTTCTCATGGTTATCTATATTTTTGTATATAGACTCTTGTATTGAGAATTTTATTGGGTTAATTTCACTAGAAAATTCAAACTATCCAAAAAGTTCCATTTATGTTGAAAACTACGTCACAAATGAATTAAACATGCTTGAGTAGAAAATACATGCACCAGTGGATATTCATAATTAATTGGCTGGATTTGGAAATTTTTTCGTCCATAAAGAAAGACTTCAAGTAAAATTTTCCACTTCAAAACAAAGTTCAACAACTACGTACGTTGCAAATAGAAATAATCACCATCAATTACAAACAAAAATCCATCAACCCTTAATAATATAATTTATTGTTCATAAAGAAACAAAAACATTTTCCCATCGTGTCATTGTCACTCATTAAAATACTAGAGGTACGTACTAATTAACATTGTATGAAAAAAAACATTTGCTTATTTCATAGCCTTCAGATTTTGACGCCGACAACAATGTCACATGGAGCATCTAAATTATAGCTTCACTAATCCCATAACATGCCAACTTCAAGGAAAGCCGAAAGAGCAAGGAGGGTTCCTTCAAGAGATGCTCTCTTAAGTGAAGAAGACAGCACATCTTAATTTGTAATTTGCATTCCCATTCTTAAGTGATTAACAATTCCCATTACCCCTAAACTAATCAATTAACTCTTCTCACCTTCCACCCAAATATATCTTGATTTGATGCCAGATATACTTAAACCAAAAGTCATACCAACATCTGAGGATGTGTGGGATGATGCGAACATTAATATGTACGTAACTTTTTTAAAATTAGAATACCAAATTAATTGTGTGTGAATGATAGGTGCAATATTCATATGCCAATATTGGCATATGAGTGATATAATTACATGGTTCACCTCTTATTTAAAAGTGTTTCAATTTAACATAGTATCAAAATTAGTTTAAATGGCTTGTGATATAATTAATAAGTCTTCTTTATAAATTCGTATGTTATCGGATAACAAGGATGAATGGTCATGATTTTGAGTCATAATAAATCTTGTCAATGAAGTATAGTAGCATGAATCAATTAGAATCATTGTACCTTTCTTCATTTGAGAACAAAGAAATAGACTCATGCATCGTGTAATATTTATATATATTAACCACAATAATAATGTCTGCCGTTGCAACACAACTTTCCCTCACAAATATTATAATACGCACACCGCACCAGATTGCCAAGTTCCATCTCCTTCAACAAAAGCTTCCCATCTAGCTTCGCCCCATTGATCACACACTCTACATTCACATAATCCCTCTCAAGAAATTCGACGGCGACCCATTACTCTCTTACCACTTTAAATCCAACCCATTTCATTACTTCCTTCAAATTCGCCAACTTTCCCGACCGATTGATCATCGCCATGGAGAAGATGAAGATCAGCCGGAGTTTCTCGGCGGAGAAGCCCAGATTGTTCGCCGGCCTCCTCGCAGCCGCCTTCGCCGCCACGCTGCTACTAATCGCCGGTTCGTTCACTTCTCTCTCACCGAACTCCCCCTTCCTCTGTTCCACCTCTGCCGTCGGTGGAAGCGACGACGGCAAAAGCAAAGACCCGACGCCGCCGCAGATGGAAGCAATCCTCCACTACGCCACCTCCCGGACCGTCCCGCAGCAATCCCTGGCGGAGATCTCGGTCTCCGCAGCCGTCCTCCGGTCGTTGGGCCCGTGCCGGTTCCTCGTCTTTGGGCTGGGCCACGACTCGCTCATGTGGACCGGGCTCAACCCACGCGGCACCACCCTATTCCTTGAGGAGGACCCACGCTGGGTCCACTCCATCCTCCGTCGTTTCCCCAATTTGTTGCGCTCGCGCGTCGTCAGATACCCCACGCGCCTCCATCAGGCCGACTCGCTTCTCTCGTCCTACAAAGACGAGCCCGACTGCCTTCTCGGTGGATCTCATGGGCTTGCGCACCTCAAAGGTAATGCGCGGTGTAAATTGGCACTAAGTACATTGCCTAGTGAGGTGTACGAGGATGAGTGGGATGTGATCATGATAGACGCGCCGAGAGGGTACTTTCCCGATGCACCGGGGCGGATGGCGGCGATATACACAGCGGCGGTGATGGCGCGTGGGAGGACGCACCACGGGGTGACACACGTGTTCTTGCATGATGTGAACAGGAGGGTGGAGAGGGTATACGCTGAGGAGTTTCTGTGTAAAAAGTACTTGGTGAAAGCTGTGGGGAGGCTTTGGCATTTTGAGATACCTTCTTTTGTTGGCAATGGAAACTTCACTAGTTTTTGTTAGTTAGAGAGGAAGTTGGGGGGAATGGATGAGTTATTTAATTTGAATGTGAAGTTTGTTGGTCTATTGAGAGAAGAAACAACAATGTAGTACTTTGTATAGAAAGTCTTCCTCTTAAACTCACTTTTTGTTTATGATTGTTCTATACAAGCACATTTACTACATGAGAAGAATAGCAATAACATTGGTTGAGCTCTTACCTACCATTTCTTAAGAGTAATATGTGTTTCAGAACCAAAACTACGATGATTATTCTATTGCCGTATAATATTGGGTGGTCGCAATCTTAAATGACCATGTCACCATTTTGATGATTTGAGTATTGTTCAATACATATCACGCATTTGGATGACATTGGTTTGATCAAGTATGACCTTTTGTATGTCATTTACAGACAATGTTACAAAATATGACATATTAAATTCTATTTCCGTATTGTTTAGTGACGACTAACGAGGCATATGCAATTGAGCACCATTCTCGGAAAAACATATCCCAAGGCAACAAATGCATTACTAATCATATAGCCATACTTAAAAGCTCACATTTAATTTGGCAAAAAGAAAGGGAAAACTCCTCACATTTAAGCTTTTGAATGGAAAGCATTGCATATAGCTCATTCCCTTACCAACACATTGACATGTTTGACGATCCTAAATCTATATAATCCCCTTACCAACACATTGACATGTTTGATAATCCTAAATCTAGCTCATGATTTAGGCCCATAAGATCCCAAAACAACAAAAACAAATAGAAGTAAAACGCCCATGACATTGTTTGAGAAGTGCCAAACACAATAAAAAAAAAGAACAAAAAATTAAAAAAAAAAAGAACAAAAAATTCTGTTTCTAGCTCATGATTTAGGCCCATAAGATCCCAAAACAACAAAAACAAATAGAAGTAAAACGCCCATGACATTGTTTGAGAAGTGCCAAACACAATAAAAAAAAAGAACAAAAAATTAAAAAAAAAAAGAACAAAAAATTCCTTTGAGAGTGGGATTTGAACCCACGCCCTTTCGGACCAGAACCTTAATCTGGCGCCTTAGACCAACTCGGCCATCTCAACTTTGTTGTCAAATCATTCCCTAGGCCTTATACATAGGATGAAAGTACAGCAGTCAGAACACAGATGACAAAATGGACGATTATCTACCCATATCAAGCCGATAGTAATGAAAGATTAGTCTAATTCAACGGATGTTCATTTCAGCATTAGTCTATTGAAACGCCCAAATTTCACGCTGTAGTTTTGCTGACACAACTTGCATTAAGAGCATCAATACATTATACATACTAAAGGTTTTGGAGAAACAATTACAAGAGATACAGACACACCATATAGAGTGCAGGATGAAGAAGCAAGTATCCCCTAAGCCTAGTTGGCTGGCATGAATAACGGAGACACCCTCCTACGCACAGTTTCTTGAATCTGGTCTGGTGGCAATACTGATGCCTCTTCGTCGAAATTCGCATTCTCCAGGTTTTGGCGCAACTGCATAGACACACAGAAACCAAGCCAGTATCATGTAGCCTGTAGGCAAGCAAATTATCCAAATAAAAAGGTACAGATTCAATGTATAATAATGCACCTTATCAAGAATAGCAGATTGGTCATCCAGGTGGAATTTGCGCATGTACTTCAGCATCTCCAGCTGCTGCCAAACCAAAGAGCCATTTACTTATCATATTTTGCAATAGCCATCTCCAATGATAAACCACAGAAAGAGTGAAAAAAAGAAGTTTTCCAAAAAGGACTTGCCTTCCCCTGAAGCATTTGTTGATTATGCATTTTCTTTGCATATTCTTCTGTTCCAAGTTCAGCCTCATCACAAGCTATCTCTTCACTGCCAATCAATGAATTGTGTGAAACATTGGATGCAAAAAAGAAGGAAATTGTTTATCTGACACTATATTGCCTGTTTATCAAAAAAAATTCTTCACAATTGGATCTTCATTCCTAAAACAGACAACTCCAAACTTCCACACCAATACGACACCCAACTAACATGTCAAATTAACTGCAGTGTAGCACATTTCATTGTTTTTCAAACAAATTCTGGGAAAACAGAAACTTAGTCCAACATGAAATGGGGACATAAGGAGGAACATGGTAGGCGTGTTCAACAGTGTTATCTCTAGACTATAACAGCTTTGACTGTTCAGCAGCATACCAGAAATAGGCACCATCGTCAAACAGACAGCAAGAAGGGAAAAACAAACAAGGCTGTGTCTAGTTCTTCATGCTGTTCACCAGAATAGAATGTTCATGACCAAGGTCATCAGAATTCTTAGTCTACCTTGCCACGAACTTGTAAAACTGAATCATCAAATCTCGGTCATTCTCATAAATTGTATTCACTTTACCCAAGCAAGAAATGCCAAAGCTAGGATCTGCAAAGAAGCAAGACTTTATTTTAACACAAATTCATCATACATACAGCCATCCACGGATCTTACTTTGAATCACAAACCCCCTAACAGCTAACCAACATACACAAACGGTACACATGTTAAACCATACCAACTTCCATCTCCAAAAAGATGCCCTCTTGAAGTGCCGTAGTAACAGCTACAGCTTCCTGCATTGCCACATTCAATGTTGAACATACAATTTCCACACTTGCTTAGTTCGATGTTAAAGTAAAAGAAACAACACTGAATTCATTTCCGAGAGCATAAGAACCAAATTAATTCACCTGTTTATCGTCCACAGCATCTGCAATTCTTCTCTTTACATCTAAAAAACCAACAAATCAACAACCAGAAGAAACAAGATAAAGGAGCAAAAGAGAAGAGCCGAAAAGGGACTTACCTGGCTGGGCAGTGAGCTCAGAGAATCGATCAAACAGATAAACCAACTGCTCCCTTGACAGCATCCCTGAACTTTGCAATTGCAGACCAGCCATCAATGCGATGCAGAAAAAGCAGCTTCCTTTCTGTTAAAATCCTTCATTTCAGACACAGATTGAAAGTACCCAAAAAAAGAAACATAGGGTTTGATTCCATGCATTGAAGCTTCAAGGCTCAGACGACGAAAACCTAGCAAACCAAGAAATTAAAATCACCTCAACTTATTATCCACAGCCGCGAACGTGTAGAATCAGAGCTTCAACAGAAACGGCGCAACCCAAGAAAAGGAGAGACGAAAATGAAAAGAACCAAAGGAGACAAAAGATCTCGTGATGGAATGATTCGCGATGGAGAATAGCCGAAGGATATTTCGGTCATTTCACTTCCTCCATTCCGCAGAAATCACAGAGCAAATGAAAAAGCCAGAACCACGCAAAGAAGCCATATCCATGGAAACCCAGAGAGTAAATTACGAAAGCGATTATAATTAATAACTCAATTTTATATGAAACCATTTTCCAAACCATAAACTAAACACTACTCGCAAAAGAACTGTAAGCTAAGAAGTAAGAACAGCTATTAAGAGAATAACAGCGCATCAAATGTTACAGAAGAACAGGATATTGCAAAAGGTCTTTTAGAAGTCTTCGTCCATCTTAAACTCATGGCTTCCACCACTGCCACCATTAAGGCTATTCATAACAGAAGCCTTCTGGTATTCCCCAACCCTCTTCTCAAAGAAATTCGTCTTGCCCTGCAACGAAATCAGCTCCATCCAATCAAAAGGATTCGTCACATTGTAAATCTTCCCACACCCAAGGCAGTCCAGCAACCTATCAGCAACGAACTCAATATACTGGCCCATCAACGCTCCATTCATCCCTACCAGCGCGCACGGCAAGGCATCACAAACAAACTCCCTCTCGATATCCACCGCATCTTTAACAATCCCCTTCACCCGCTCCTCACTGGGCTTCACCTTCATCAACCCATACAGCAAGCAGGCAAAATCACAATGAAGCCCTTCATCTCGCGAGATCAGCTCGTTGGAGAACGTCAATCCAGGCATCAGCCCACGCTTCTTCAGCCAAAATATCGCGCAGAAGCTCCCGGAGAAGAAAATCCCTTCCACACAGGCAAACGCAATCAACCTCTCGGCGAACGACTCCCCGCCGTCGATCCACTTCAAGGCCCACTGGGCCTTCTTGGCTACACAGGGCACCGTCTCGATGGCGCGGAAGAGTCGGCTCTTCTCGTCGGAGTCCTTGATGTAGGTCTCGAGAAGGAGGCTGTACATCTCGGAGTGGATGTTCTCGATCGCGATCTGGAACCCGTAGAAGGCTCTGGCCTCGGCGACTTGCACTTCCTTCATGAACCGGCCGGCGAGATTCTCGAGGACGATTCCGTCGGAGGCGGCGAAGAAGGCGAGGACGTGGGTGATGAAGTGGCGCTCGTCGGGGGAGAGAGCTTCCCAGTGGCGGGTGTCCTGAGAGAGGTCGACTTCTTCCGCGGTCCAAAAGGAAGCCTCGGCCTTCTTGTACATCTCCCAGATCTGTGGGTACTCGATCGGGAACATACAGAAGCGGTCAGGGTTTGGCGCCAGGAGAGGCTCTTCTGGGAAGGACGGCATCTTTGGGAGAATTTTTTAGGGTTTTGGAGAAGGGGAAGAAGGGGAAATTCGAAATTTGATTGCAGAGAGTGGTGGAGGGAGATTGGGGATTTTATAGGAGGAGGGTAATGGAACAGTAATGGCGGTAGGGAATTCGAATTGGAATTTTTTGAAGGGAGCGGGGCGAAAGCATTTGAATTACAATTTTTTCTTTGAGAAATGAAGGAAGCTTGCGGGAGACTGAACTGCGGGTTTGGGGGATTTTGCCGCCATTTGTTTGTTTGCGTCGCGGCAAGACGTCTGATTTAGGTTTTACTTAACCGAGTATTAATAGCACAATTGCATAAGAGCCACTAAACTTTGATGTCCATATACAAATGGGTCTATCTCTTAGTGTACTTCATATCTCGAAGGTTGAACTAGCTAATTGTAGTACTCAAATTATTCATAATGTTGGTTGATTAGAGATGAAGTGTACATTAAACTCTTTTTTCATCAACTTATCGAGTTAGGTTATGACTTTTAAATTGCAATTTCGTTTATCATTAATGGAAAGTGCTCCAACCATCCTCTTGATGCATTAATCGAACTATCGAAAAGTGTCAATAATATCATTCGATGTTCGTGGTAGTGCTCAATTCACATATTTATTTATCAATAAACGAACAACTAACATATACATTTGAATGAATTACAATTTTTTTTACCAAAAAAGTTGTCATAATATCACAATTTTTTTAATCTAAATTGATCCAACCAACTTGTTAGTTCATTCAAAAATTAACTGCTTAATAGTTGATCACTACACCCTCTAGTTACATATTTGATTGGGTTGAATTATGAGCTGTAAAATTAATTTGAAGGGAATGGAGGATTTGACTTTAGGGACGAGTTTGTTAAAAATCGGATTGGGTGTGTCGTTCTGTTAATGACAAAAAAGTATATTGGCTGGATGTGTAATTGAGCCAAAGAAGGCGGAGGTGGGTAGGGATAGCAATGGGTTGGGTTGGATCGGGTTTTGCCAAACCCAAACCCATGGGTTTATTCGTGAAAAAATCCGGGGTAAAACCCACTGGGTTTGAAAAACTCAAACCCAACCCAACCCGTTGGGTATCCGCGGGTTCATGGGTACCCACGTGTTTTTTGTCGTAAAAAATTACAATAACAAGTTCCTATCAAAATTAAAACCAAAATATCAATCTCTCAATTCAAATTATTCATACATAAAACACCATTCTAGAAATTCAAGCAAATCACAAATTAACTATAAAAATTGTTCAACACCAATCTAGAAAACTCAAGAAAATTGAAACAAATCATAAATTATCCATAAATAACATGATTAATTGAAAACTTCTTCCTTTCAATTAAGTTTTTTCACTCTCCACTCGATAACATCAACTTCGTTCTACACAATTAGAAAGAAAAATTAGACATGTATGTCCCCACAAACATAAATAAGATTAATTGTTTAGAATATTAAATATACCTAGAAAATTAATTATATGGGTGTGGGCGCGTACCAATGGATCGGGTTTACCTAAACCCAAATCCATCCCAACCCGATGAATAGTTTACGGGTTAAAACCCAAACCCGGCTCAAAACCCATCAATACGGATTTTACCCGCCTTAACCGGGTTGGGTCGGGTGGGTACCCGTGGGTTCGGGTTTTGTTGCCATCTCTAGAGGTGGGTGGAATCAGTGGCTGATATTTGGGATGAGAGAGAGAAGGTAAGGCTTGCGAGGGAAGCCAAATTTTGATTGGGCGGGAGAATTTTGATTGGGCGGGGGAACTGTTTGTGGAATCTGGTGACTGGCTGGAGAGTGGAGACTGGAGACTGGAGACGTACTCGTGGCTGCACGAGAATGCAACGTGCTTTCCTTGCGTCGGTTCACGGTTGCCTACACTTCACGTGGGCCGTTTGGCTCGTTTTTATGGGCCTAGTTTCAGGGGCCCTTCTTAAGTTTAAGTCCAATTAACTCGTACCCGGGCCCGACACTCTACCTTCCCAACGCATCCTCCAATCTCCACTCCCCTGTAATCATTGTCCGTACGAGCTTAAGCTTGGCGGGTAATAATAACTAAAAACTAAAATAACTGTAATAAATGAAGGAGGAAGTTTCCTTCAATTCATATTATGGAAGGAAAATCAAAGTTGACGAGATCTTATTACCATCAACGTAAAGATTTATTTCCTTCCAACGCACACAGAACTCAGAAGAAAAAGCCCCCAAGAAATTAGTCCCTTCATTAATGGCGGCCATTGGTGAAATGAAATCCCACTCCTGGATTTGTCCTTATTAAGAACCGAAAAAACTAATAAATTCACTGCTCATTTTCCCATTAAGGCTCGTTCTTACCACGAGAACTTGCAAGAACTTCCATTGTTGGAGTGCTCTGTTTTCTGCCCCAAAAGGTAAGAGCTTGAGACCTTCCCTTTGGCGAATTCGTATCTTACCCAATTTTGAAAACAATTCCTGTTTCTGACGCAGAAGAATCAATCCATAATGGGGGCCAAAAGGGTGAAGATTGAGCTGATAAAGAACGAGAGGAGCCGGCTGCTGACTTACAAGAAAAGGAAGGCGAGTCTGCTGAAGAAGATCAGCGAGTTCTGCATACTCTGCGACGTCAAGGCTTGCCTTATCATCTTCTCCGGCAACAACGGTGCCAAAGGCGGGGAGGAGCTCGAAACATGGGCCCCGGAGTCCTGTACTGTAGAGGAGCTGATCCAGCAGTACAGAAGCTCCGACAAGCCCATGAAGAACTTCACCGTCACCGATTACTTCAGAGAGAAGAAGAAAAGGCTGGATGTCGAGCTGTCGAAGGTGAGGAAGCAAATTTATAAGTTGAAGTTCCCGAGCTGGGACGAAAGGCTGGACAATTTCTCCGTGGATCAGCTCGGAGTCGTTCTCGGTCAGCTCGATTCGAAGCTGAAGCTTGCCGACGAGAGGATCACGGCCTTGACAGCCGCCGAACGGGCTACTGGATGCCTGGTTCCTCCGGCGGCATTTAATCTCCCTAATCCTGTGACTCAGGATGGGGGTTCGGTAACCGAGAGGGAGATCGATAAAGGGCACACGTCAAAATCGCTAATTTGCTCCGATTTCAACTTCCTTCCGCTTCCATCATTGTCGCAGTGGCAGAGCTCGGCTGTGGCTAATGGCTACTCGGACAACCTGTACTCAACCAATTCTTCGTTCTACATTCCTGACAGGTTCAATTACTTTGCTCCTGGAGTCGGAGAATTCCCTCCGTACAACAATCCCCGATTGATGCCTGAATTCAATCCGGACACAGGAATAAACTTCGGGATGATTCAGGAGTACCATCAGATTAATAATGTCCCCGTAATGATGCAGTCGCCGCCCATGCCAGTGCGGCAGGAACCTGTGCCGAACAGAGGTCATCATCAGGGGATGCTGATGCCTGTGAATGTTGGGTGTCAGTGGGTTTTCGACTCTGACCGGATGTTCGGAGAGAATTCTGACGGAAGAGGGATGGAGGAGATGGGGTATATATCGTCTTCAGGTTTTCAGCAGATGGCGCATCAGTTTTCATCTCCTGCAATGGCTGCTCCAGCAGGTTATTCTTCCCATCCCAGGATGTTTCTGAACCAGTTGGATGAGAATAATATTGGTGGGTTTGAATTTGACAGGGGACACCATAATCTGTAGATGATTATTAGGTATTAGTCTTATATATAGTTGTTCAAGTTGGTTGTGTTTTCTTCCGTTAGTTGTTAGTTTCAGACTAGGTTTCACTGTTACTCTGTTAGTTCTATGGGAGACCACCTTGTTCTTTCTAGATAATGTTTTGCTATTTACCGAAAGAGTTAGTTAGATGACAGTTTATCCGTTTTGGATCATACTTTATCTACGAATTGTTTTTTATTATAAATATCTATGAATTGTTTTGGATATACACTCATATAATGACCAGAACTCCAGAAGCTATATAATAAATCAACAGAAACTATATTATTCTTTATGCTATACAATTGTATATACTGTCCTACAGTAACAGTACTCTCACTCTCATCTTAATCCTTCGCCCCTCTCATGCAACTGCTACAGTATAGTGAGCGGATACCTACAAACAATCAACTAAAACAGGTAAATTCAAGACCATAGTTGAACGGGTAAATGTAAGATGCACCTCGGATGAAATTTCGTAGGAAGCGTACCTGTACAAGTTAATTTGGAATCCAGCGCTCTTCATGTCTAAGCTATATTTTCTTTACAATGTTCACCCCATTAGCACGATTTAGAAGCTTTTTATACTCTTGGCTTCTCGACCATTCATCAATCTCCCGAGCACGTAAAACAGGCAGTGGGTGTGAAAGTTGCCTCGTCTGAGCATTTCTGATGGGAAAAGCAGTAGAGCAGCAAATTAGACAGGGATGAAAAAACTGATAGATTGGAACTTGAGAAGTCGGAGTCATGAGGAGAGGTTCTATATTCATTCTTACACTATATTACATATGACAAGTCTCCTTACCTTATGTACCATCCCATTGGGCTGGATGATGCTCGGTCATAAGATCGAGCTTGTTCCAAAAAGGCATCAACATTGAGTTGATCAGCGAGCGATGGGCTTCCCCCGCATAGTTTCATCAGTAGTGAGATGACAACCTCTTGTCGGAAATCAAAAGTAAGATAAACGGCCGAAAGGAGATGACAATGAAGCTTGATAACCAATAAATTATTGAGCTTATATTTTTAGTATTTCAGACCTTGGGGTCTTGAGCAACAAGAAGCGCTGCACGATCACATGTCAGCTCAGCTGAACGAATCCAACGGAACAACTGTTCTTCTAAGCTTTGAGCTATCATGCCACCAATTCCTATGGAATACATAGGGTCAGCTCAAACTCTATCAAATGCATCAAAAGGTGAACACAAGTCCTCCATTGTGATGCCCAATTTGGAAGGTGAGGTTTTAATGTAGTAAGTTGTCAAATTTTATGTTGTGGTGTACTTCTAACTAAGAATTGACAACATTTATCCTAATGAGATATGGAACCAGCTCACAAAACAACAATCAGGACTCATAAACCTACCAGGTACAGTATAAGCTCCAAGCATGAGGATATTTGCGAATGTGAGCCACACGCCATGGTCGCACTTCAGATGTCCCAACTCATGAGCCAAAACAGCCTATCACAATTAAATCGCCCAGAAACAGTTAGCATGGGGTGTATTCAGTAAGACTGACAGTACCAAGAATGAAGTTAGGACTCAATAAGAACAGTTTGAAATAGACACAGTTCAAAGACCTGCAACTCTTTTCTTGTTAGGAGCTCCACTAGGCTAGTGTGCACAACAACAAATGGCCTTTTCCCACTTATAGCTAGAGTATAGGCGTTTGGTACGGGGCTCTGCCGGACATAAAGATCAGGAGGAGACTTGATATTTAGTATCGATGCAGCCTCCGTCATCAGCAGATGAAGTTCTGGAAGCTGAGAAGCAGACATAATACTCTCTCAAATTAGCTGGTTACACCGTAACAGTCAATCATTATAACCCAAAACAAATTACACTGCTGCTACCATATGTTCATTAACCAGTCTCTCTAAACATGCACCAATGAGCACAATAAACCCTATCATATATCATCGATCCCACACTCTTTCAGAGCAACGAAGTTGTTCTTAATGATTTCACATCATGATCTTGAGGAGTAACAATCAAACTACCTGGTTTTCTGAGACGAGAACTGAAGTTCCAATGTTCTCGAGAAGCATAATTTGCTCGGATAAGCTTCCTGCAAGTGTGACCAAAACATGGCATCCTCCTCGGTTCAATTATGCAGCAGAAAATGGAAACTCAAACAATCAGTAACAGTAAGAATCATGAGGAAAAAATTGAATCACCTAACAAGGACTTGCCGATTTCATTCAATCCTGGAATCGCTCTCAACAACAACGTGTTCTGCACACAAACAACCAATCCTGAGAAACTACAAGCAAAAAGCTCCAGAACTCCGCAATTCAAAACCAGAAGCTCATCGATTCGGAGGTTTGATTTCAGTCATCACCTGTTTATCGAGAGGATGCCTGAAATCGTCGGCGTCGAGGTCGCGAAACACGTTGGAGGAGGAAGGAGCCGCCGCTCTACAAACAGGAGGAACCCTAGCGACGCTCTGACTTCCGGTCGGCGCCTTCTTCTTCTCCAACGCGACTCCACCGGAGACGTAACCGCCGAATTTTGACCAATCGGAGACTCCGTAGAAGAAACCGATAGGATAAGGAGGCGGCGAAGAGGCCGATCCCATCCGAGGGAAGCATGATGAATAAGGAAGAAGAGCTGTCATCCGAGCAGCACAGAGCTAATTGAGCTCTCGGAATTGTGGAGTAATTACTGCGACAGTTGCGATAATCTGGCCTAGCTTTTTCTTTTGCGGCAATGGGATTTTTTTTATGGCTTGCTGTGGCGTCCACAGCCGTACCGTGTGGTAATTCTGTGGCGCCATTTCGTTTTCTGTTGACTTGTTTGGCGCGCGGTGGCAACCGGGTTATCGACGTGCACGAATGGGAAGCGCCAGTTTACACACTGTAGGCCCCAGCCTGGACAAAGATTATCGGTTGATTACTTTTATGATAGCACAACTTTGAGATACCATCGAGCCAGTCACTTAACTAGTCCGCGTAATTTTATTTTTAATCAATGCATTTGTCATGGCAGCATAGTTTATCGGCACAAAATTGAAAATACCATATATAGATAAGAGCACAACTACATACTAGATAATAGCATGAAGCAAAGTTGATGCACGAATAAATAACGGAAAAAAGACCAATCACAAGTTGATCAAGAAAGAAAATGATAGTAGCTAAAGTTAATTCTAATACAATTTGCTACTTAACAGCAGCCACAATAGCAGAATGCGACAGATGTTCACACTAGAGGACCATGTACAGTGACAGTAGAGGATAACAACCCTGCAGAGATAGTTCCATTTGAAGTATATAGAATCCAGTCTGCATATATCTAAATCTTACAACTATTGGAACCTAATCCACATTCATTTCTACACTAACCATGTCCAATCTGTACTCATTCTTGGAGCACATTAACCTAGAACGAACACATTGTGATCCCAAATGGAATCAAGACTGTATTATGTAACCTAACAGCTAAAACACCCAATCAATTCTCCACTCAACTCAGTCATCAATTAAAACAAGCTTCTGCTGTCAATCTAAATATTAACCTACTACTTTCAGTTGAAAATGTTGCATTACAAAGAAACAGTTAATAGACAACTGCTGGACTATTCAATGAAAAGGTTAACGCTCTAACAATATTGTTAACCTTGAAAAGTTTAGATGTTACATGGATACATGAAGACAATGACCTTAATGCTCTAGCAATATTGTTAACCATGAAAAGTTTAGATGTTACATGAAGACAATGACCTTATCGCCCTGTAAAGTTCAACAAGCACACACTTAGTGTCAGGAATGAAAAACCAAAACACATACTGCAAAGGGAAGCAGATAATCAGGCAGCTGACCATGGACTTGGGAGGCAGGTTGGACTTGAACTTAGCTCAGACAACGCCACTTTACCGTGAGGCCTAGAGACTTTGCCCCAAATGCAACGAGAGTGGCTCCCGTTGGTCTTGACCTTAGCCTTGTAGACATACGCCAAGTGATTGCCCTGGTACCGGTTCACCTTTTTCTTGGTGTTCACTCCCTCAATCTGAATCAGAGACGTGCTCGCGACTGGTTCGACTTTGACTTGGAATTACCCCCAACAACATTCCATCCATTAGTACACTAAATCATAAAGACTCCTTGACTTCAAAGTCGCGATCGCAATCTTTCTCATGGGGAAAATCCTTTTTGGCTACAAGTTGGGTCGTGAAAGCAACATTTTTGTGTCGGAGGGTTTGTCACCTTGACCTCATAGACATAGTTGTGACTTGTCTAAAGACTCTTTTCTTGCTACTAAACATTGCAAACGTGCCCGAATGAATCCCAAATTGATATCCAATCAATTTATGACAAGTATAACACCTGGAATATCATAAATAACACAAAACAAGAATAAAATACGACAGAATGAGGTAGTTTCTTCATGACGAACCTTCATAACAACCTAACTTGAAGTAAAATTCATCTAGTGTATATAGGAACGCATATTAGCATATAAAACTTGTAACGTGGCCTAGACAAGGTAATTCTTGAAAGGAAGAAACCTTTCCTTTCTTCCCAACCAACCATAAATCTTATTCCAATTTACAAAATACCCAATCTACTACTACTCTTTCCCCATCCTACTCCAAAAAATTTCATCACACTTTTTACATTGCATGCTCTCTGCTGTGTGCTCAATCTACTTAGAAAATGATCAGGAGTGGGAAACCAAAAATTAAAACATACACCCTCCAAAGAAAAAGAAAAAGGTAAGGAATACACACAAACTGCGTACAAGAACAAGACAAAGAATAGGTGCTACTCACTCTCTCAACTCCTCCTCCTCCTCCCTACAGACCAAACCATTTTAGCGCCTTGCCTATCTGTGTTCAAGGGTTGATGTTGCACTCCCTCAAATACGGGTGCTCGTAGTCCACATACTTGGCCCAATACCCCCTGTACTTGGGCAATCCTATCTCCAGCCATGGCTTCATGTTACCATTGTAGTGTATCACTGCTGCCCTCTCTATCTCCTTCTGGTTCACGCTTGGGTTGTACCCCAGCCCCAGCACATGCCATGATCGCTCCAATGGGTAGGTTTGTTTCCAGAACGTAATCAAACCTGGCGGCAGTGTTCCCAACTTCCACAACGTTCTGTCGTGATTCTGCACATCCATTCCCCACATACCAATAAATCAATACAATATCAATACAAGTCGATTGATGACGGAAAATAGACTAGTGCTAGTTAAGTTTGTCACTCACCAGCTTCTGCCACTTGTGATACACTTCGGTGATGTTTTGCCTTCTCCACTGATCCAAATCAAAGATATTCATCCCGTATGCCCATCCACAGGCATGCGGATCAAAAGTCTTGGAGATCAGAGGATTGGAGAAGTTGAGATACCGATCAAAACGATGGAAGCTCTCTCCACAAGTCTCCACTGCACCATTCACATTACCTTTCAAATCAAGGAACCAAAGGGCAGCGAGATCCTTCTGTACTACTATATCATCATCAACAAACAGCACCTTGTTTAACTTTGGGAATATCTCTGGCAGGTAAAACCGGAGATGGTTCAAAATGGACAAGTACTTTGGATTCCGATACTTGAGATTTGAATCCGAACTAGCACGATGTGACCTAAAGTAGTAATCTATCATAGATGGAGATCCCAACTGCTTCAGAACAGGACTGTAACTTGCATTTAACCATGTGAACTCCTCGATATTCTGAACTTGAACAGTTGCCTTGTCGGGTGGATTCACTAGAAACCACATCCTCATTGCTGCATAATTGAGTCTATCCGTAACGATGTGGAAAACATGCTTTGAAGGCTCCTGCAAACAAACCAAACAAATCTAATCAGGATCTACCATTCATGCTGGTACTAATCTTGCTAGCATTGTAATTATTATCTGCAAGACAAACTATATTTCACCTTAGCATGTGTAATAGTAGAGTTCAGCACAACTGCAGCTGCTAAAACATTGTCTGAGAATAAAGCATAATGATATAGCAGAGGATCTTCCAATTTCTCCGGATTTGGAAACTGTTGCTGAGAAGTATTCAACAAATAATACTCGGTTGTCAGGCGCAAAGGAAGACAGTGAAGACCCTTGGGGAGGGTTTTGGCAGTTAATTGAGTCAAAAACATGGTCTGCTTTTTATGCACACGGAGCTGCTCCTCCGTGGAATGCAGCATAGCACGAAGCTTTTTCACCCAAATAGCACAGTCATCTTGTATCTGCTTGCCTTTCATTAAGGACTGTTCCATTGCCCTCAACTTCTCACTGGCACTGCATACAGATCAACTTTAATCAATAAGACAACACTAATAGTTGATTGTATATTTCATTATAGTTCTATGAAGAACATCAAACCAATTTAATGGAAATCAGATATTACAGTGATCGCATACTAGATTCAGGAAAATAAGCCTTACTTCTTGGGCAGCTCTGAGTCTCTAGTTGCTTCGCCAAGGACACGTGCAACTTCCTTGATCCGCAATCTGAGCTCTCTCGTATAGTGTTGATTATTCTTTGTTGCAGGAAGTGACAGGTATACCTTTGCCCTAATCAGCTGGTCTCTTAGTTGACGTACACGAATATCTGACATAGCATTTTGATCTGTCTGTTTACCCACTTTAGCTTTTGGGTGATCCTTTCCACTAGCTTTGTAGGGCTTCGCACCTGGTTTTCGCTCAAACTAGCCAAAAAAATATCACAAAAGAAAATAAGTAATTCCACTGGTTAAACTCAAAACAGTAACTTCAACATAAAGAATCATTATTGCTACATAAAAGAAGTGGAGAGACATTTTACTGTTCTGCACTAAATCATGACTGTATGTGATACCAAATACTCGATCGACATAGAAGGCCATATCAGAAGCGTTCTCAAATTGAATGATTTCAGTTTCTATTGCAAGGAAATGAATAACAGGATATATTGGAAGATCAATTCAAAACTCGAAGTTGTGCTACCACGAAAGCCAATGGAGGAATATTCTACATACATTATTCAACTCCAAGTAACTAGGGGTTTAAGTTTCCTTTGAGATTGTGATCACCATATTGGGAGTCGGCAAAATAATAGACAAAATTACCAATTACCAGGTGGGAAAGCTCTCACATCAGCCATCACAATCAGACAATAAACTAAACACTACCACAACGAAAGAGGAGTGATCTCTTCAAGCTAAGGCATGAGAAGCTTCAAATGGCATACCGGATTTTGAGATGCAAGTTGGGTAACAACGTTGGAAGCCAAGGATTTTGGGTCCATGGAGTTGGAGGCAGCATCCGTGCCATCACTCCTCGATTCCTGCTGAGCACTGACACTATCAGTGACCCGTTTGATGACAGCATCCGTTTGAGATTGCACTCGTTCCTCAGTCGCCGACAAAACTCTAGATTTGTGCTCTCTCACAGCTTGAGATTGCGAATCTAAAACAAATGAGCCAAAACAAAGGGATTAATTTCAAAATTGGCCGATGTAACCACACTAGTGGAACGAGCTTGCAAGATGATGAATCACCTGCTGCTGCAATTGAATCTTGAATAATCCCATCATCAGAAGACGCCACCACCTCTTCTTGGGTGGAGTTGGTGGTGTAAACAACCCCAATCGGCTCCTTGACGACAGTGGACGATTCCTATAAAGCCAATCAATGGCGGAAACTGAGGATATGTTATGGCCATACAAAGGCGAAAGGATTTAAGCCGGAAATACGAATCAATTGTACCTGAGGCAACACGTTGAGACGGCCGGAATCAGCAGGAACAGTCTGGAAAAAAAGGAGCAGCAGAAGATAAGGAACCTCTCCGATTTCCTATCGATCATTCAATTCAACGAAAGCCGAAGAGAGAAAGAGAATGAAACTTACGAAGGAAGTGACGTCTCCAAAGAAATCGATTCGAGCTGCAGAGAAAAGGAAGACACAAAGAATGAGCGAAGGGGAAATAATCGATCGAAGAAGAAGAAGAAGAAGAGTGAGAAAGGGAAACTGACAGGAAGAGGGAGCGAAGGCGGCGAATCTGTCAGTGTAAAGAGCAATGGGAGCAATCACAGTGATGAAGAGCATCCCTATCACCACGTTCCTCAGATTCATCTTCTTTCTTCTTCCGCCTTCACCCCGGCGATCTCTTTTTACTAGTTCTCCGGCTTGACGAATTCTCCAACTCGAAACCAGAACTCAACTGACGAGGAAGAAATCAAAACCAAACGGGACTCAAACCGAGATTCGTTCGTCTGCTACCGTCGGTGCTCCGTTCCAGGCCAACAACAGTCACTACCACGCCATAACAGAAACCGTACACAGAGAGCGGCCGCCGCCGTTCGAAGAGAGAGAGAGAGAGAGAGAGAGAGAGAGAGAGAGAGAGAACGGGCGAGAGGAAATGGTGGAGCTGCGATGCTAATCCGCGTCTGATTTATCTTTTTCTTTATTGTTTTAATAAAACTAAAAGGAAACTAAAGAGAGAAGAAATCGGACATCTAAAGGCTACTCGCTTTGCTTTGGTTGCAAAGGGGGAAGAAAAGATACAGCGGAAGCAGAGAAATGGTGCCGGATGGAGGGTAGATGACGACGAACGGGAAATAATTTGAGTGACGGAGAAGAAATGTGAGACGAAGGAAGACAAAAAGGGAAGAGGAAGAGAATAAAGGAAAGGGAAACGGCGTGTCTTTAATTATGGAAGGGTTAGACAGCAAAGCAGCAGAGAGCTGTACGATTTTTGTTTTTTTTTTTTTTTTTTTTGACAAAGAAACTACTTTGGAGGTTAATAGTTACTGATTTAGCATCCCTCAAGCGCCGTGGGAAAATCACTTGCACCTTCTCCCTGAATTGGCAGACCCGCGCAAGAGGACCAATCAGGTTTCGGCACCTGTAGTGGGGAAACCTCGTCTTCTCTATTCTTCTAGCCGGAGCTCTTCTGCAGATTTCTCCTGCTCCTCCTTCGGCGTCGTACGGACTCAATTTCTTCTTCTCAATCCGTTTTCTCTGGCCCCCACTTTCCTCATCATCATCGTCGTCAAGAGCTTCAGAAATCCTCCGACTGTTCTTCCCCTGAATCGCCTTCTTCTGCTGTGAAATGTGAGAGCTAGGGTTTCCAGACTCTCCCGCAGCTCGGAACTCCACGAAACTGATTGGAATCAATTTACCCGATTTGAGGGTTCGACTGACTAGTGTTTGGCTCGGTTCCTTTTTGTCACAGGAGGAAGTCGGTGAATCGACCTCCGACGCCAGACGCGGTGGAGGAACAGGAAGAGAAAGAGCCTTCGCTTCAGGAAGTAATCAACGTTAAGGTTCGGCTGAGTAATCGATTTCGGAAACTCCCGTCGGTTTTCGATGATACTAGCTGTCGGCAACTTGTGGATTGAATTTTTGTATTGATTTAACAGTTGGTCGAGAGTGGAGAGAAAGAGCGGTTGATGGAGCTTCTGAGGGAGAGGCTGATCGAGTGTGGATGGAAAGACGAGATGAAAGCTCTCTGCAGGTAAATTTTCTTTCGCTTGGTTAGAACTAGGATAAGAGAAGAACACATAGCTTGCGCATTTGATCCGCTGCTTTACCAATGGCGATTGCTTTTGCCTCACCGAAGTATTTCAGTGGTCATGTATGCTCTCATTTGAATGAAATCATCCCATGGATTATTGAATATGAATGAGTAGATGGGATGCTTTCCACCATATTTCAGCCTTTGCTGTGTAGAGTTATGAATTGGGTGTTCCATTTATGGCTCGACAGCTTCAGGTGTGCACTATGCAATCACGAAACTTCACCATCGTCCAACCTGTGCGAGCTTATAGCCCTTGAATGCTCGGTTATTGATTGAACGTCTGTGCCTTTAAAGGGTCTAGTTTATATATCATTGGCTAAAGAGAATGTGGATGAGCGAAGAATACTCCTGCAAGAATATGTTTTGAACGTGATGTTGTGAGGAATTCAGGATGTTATGATCAAAGTTATGCTTGCATCTTTTGAGCTTTTGTCAAACTTCTCCCGAGTGTTTGATGAGCTTGTTAACTAGCCCCTCTTTTCTCAAGTCAAAGTTGCAGACTTCACTGCACTTGTCCACACATGTTGGAAATATATTGGTAGTTTTGCTTCATTTCAGGGCTTTCATAAAGAAGAAAGGCAGGAGTAACGTGACTGTGGATGATCTTGTACATGTGATTACACCTAAAGGCAGAGGTAGATGATATCTTTTACATTCTCACTACTTCTAGTTGCAAATCATTTTTCGCAGCTAAAGAACAGTCCCATCAAACTGGTTGAAATTTCTCAGAGCCCTAAACCATTCCTGTTTTGTGTCTGTTATGCAGCCTCGGTTCCTGATTCGGTGAAGGCCGAGCTGTTGCAAAGAATTCGTGCTTTTCTAGTGCAAGCCTCGGTTTAGTTTGTCCCTTGCCCTACCCTGTTTAGCTAGAGTAGTGGATTGCCTGCACGGAACCTTCGAACCAAGTCTCGTACGAAAGAGAAACTGTTCCAGATGTTGACATAGTCTACTTGGAAGGAACCAAGCGGGCTGCTGCTGCTGCAGTCTGTCTGCTGCAATCCACCCAAATGCTGCAAATCTTGAACAAAATGCTCAGAAATATTAGGTGTTACTTACAAAATGTGTAATGTATCATTATATAACATACTTGTGTGCTTTCTGGAGCGAATTTTAGCAGATTGCTTATGTAATGTTTCCGAAATTTGTGATATGAAATTGGATTGAGCTGGCTCTTTGCGTGTTTTTTCTGCATTACTACGTGAAAGAACATCATATCATATCTGATATTTTTGGCTTATGCATTTTTGAATGGATTAATTGGAGATGCACAAGGTTAAAGCATTATCATTCGGATGAGTGATTCAAAATCCATTTGTTTCGCCTTTGGTTTCAAATCAATCAACATGACTTACCTTTTGACTCCTTGGTCCCGTTTGATTTGATACAGTTGTAATCACAATATCACATGATGAGTTGTTCTTTTTCCCAATCTGATAATAGGCGCAACAATCATCGGCCAAATGAATCCAATCCTCACATTGATTTGTTGGGCCCTTTGTCCACCTTCCACCCATCTCACTTTGATACAAAACTGCCGCCCATTTGAGTTAACGGATGGAACACTTCTAGCAAAAACAAGTCAATATCGATGCAATTATTATGGACCTCTTTAGTATAGTTTTATTTTTATTTTATTTTTATGAATAGTATAGTTTTATTGTTGTGGTTGTACCAAGATAGTAACAATATAGAAGTATTGAGGGGTGGTTCGGTACCTCGATACCTATGTCTGCTCCGTACTAAGTGCATGTTAGGTCGAGTAATATCCGCGACGGATTGATACATCCTAATATATTATTTGAAAACAATGTCGATATTTAACTTTTTTACAAAAAGAAATCGCGAAAACAATGAGAAATATAATAGAATAAATAACTGGGTTTGGCTATCGTTTCCTGCTAAAATTACGTCATCGACGTAGGAGGAATCAACAGACTTCTCCCTTCTTCATTGATCCGGGGGAAAAGGAACCTGAAGAAGAGACATACAGGTAGATATTGATGAAAATCATAATAGAACAGGTCGAGAATGAGACATGACGGATGGGGTAGGTTGGAAACAATACACATACCTCACCCTACACTACTACGAATAACGTAATACCCACCCCAAACAGGTCAGAGTAGGTCAGGTCTCGCAGATCATATTGAAAATTGTCATAGAAGAAACACAACAGTATAAAGACAAACAACAAAAATATTTTTAGTCACGAATAAATTTTGGCCTTTGTAACCTGTCCATTCAAGTCAAATTGGCTTTTAATAACATACTCTTCACCAAAATGAATGTAAATTTGATTAGACAATTGATAGATTTCTTCTATATTGGGAGATCTGATTACCTGTACAGGAACTAATGAATTCAAGTGATTTGGGACACAGCCTAGGCATTACCTTCTCAATCACAACTCACAAGTGGTATTTAAGAAGTGCAATTTAAAATTCCAAAAAGAATCAAGCACATGGACACTACCATACACTGAAACACCATCTTTTATAGCTCTTTCTTATAAGTTTGGATTCAGAAACCAAACATGCATAGAAAAAGGAAGGGACTTCCCCCACTTGCGAGGAGATTCAGTCACCATTACATAATTTTATGACTCATTCGTTTTACATCTTGCAAATCCTCTATTTATAGAGAATATATATAGATAGATACTACACCTACTATTATAGCAGAGACCACACTACCGGCGCTGGAACCCAAAAGCACCTTCCGCCATTAGCACACACACACAAACCACAACAAACATTATTATTCTTCAGCTCCAGACCCTGCACGAATGCAAACACTCATTTCCCTCTACTTTTTCTCCACACGATTCGTCGTCCAAAAGCTTGCACTCTAACGGGAAATCTGCAGAAAGTAGGAAGCTGGCATACCCTCCTCACTGCCACCAACACTTGAGTGCTAGCGTGAAGTAGTTTTGCTTATGCTGCTGACCCGGCTTGCTGGCAGAGGTCTAACAGGTCCAGGGTCTACAAACCAGGATTGAATTGCATTAGATGCTTGTTCTGCACAAAAGGATAGATGAAAAGATTCATTATGAGTGACAGCAAGCAGTACCTCAGGGACAGAGAGTTCAAGGCGAAACTTCGGACCGTCGTAGTGGTGCAATACTGGCCTAAATGAATCTTCTTCCAATGGTTTGCAGACCTTCCTAACACGGATCCTCACCTATATAGCAAGCAAATTACAGCAAGAAAATTTGTTTGAATCAGCCGGAGTTTTTCATACATATTACACAATGTACATAACATTGATGCTTTCTGATCTTACCTGAGCAGGAAACCTCGACTCTCCTTTACACTTTTTATCTTCCCAAGCAGTTGGATCAATGTTTGAACCTCCGAAGGTTGTTGCCTACAGTTGTTCATAACATTGATTAAGCATTGGCAACTAAATCTTAATGCAATTGTTGAACCATTACCTTAAGAAGATCAAAAAACACAAACAACTTACCTCAAAGATACCATGCAACTGGTGGGTCGTGTAGTTGTAGAGAAAGAGAGGCAAGCCAGGTGTTATTGCCCGAACAGAGTCCCTATACCTTGGAGGCAGACCTTCAAAACAAGTGATTAATTAACAAATCTTGACTCATAAAAGCAAACTCCATTCTCGTCCTAGATGAACATGAGCATATAAATCACCTTCTTGGTCATACAAAGGCAATTCGAGTTGCAGCATAGATAATTGCATGTTTTAATCCACTTGTAAAGCTTGAAAAGGAAATCAGAAGGTATATCTACCAAGGAGAACACAACCTACCAAATAGCTGGCGCTTCAAGTCTTCCTGCATTGTGTCATTGTTACAAACGAATATGTATCCTCCAAGCACCTCATTCCTTGGGAGCGTTTCAGTTGCAGGCAGTGTCTTGAATCGTTTATCCACCACACCATTTCCACCACTGTTGTCAATATTGCTGTTGTGATTAAGCTCCTTCTCACTGACCATGTTGACGCTATACTTGCTACCAGGAAGATTCATATTCAGATTCCCAATGGTGTTCATATTGTTCTTCTGATACACCGCATTCATGTTGTAAACGCCGCTCCTCAAAGGATTCTTGCTCACATTTTCCATCATCGCCTTGGAAGACTCCAAATTCAACATGCTAAAGTTGAGGTTCTCAAACTTATTCTCTTCCTGGAACCCCATCTTTTCCCTTGGTGGCCTCATTTCAGCCATGCCTTTAGATATGTCCAAGTTGTTCATGCGCTCGCCCTTTAGCCTCGTTTGTTCGGCCAGTTTAGATGCAGCCACAAACCACTTATGATCCTCGGAGACTTTTGATTGCCCTCGAAGCTCGTCACCCAACTGCCAGAAGCTGTTGATGTTGTCCATCTTGCGAAGAAAATATCTACAGGCAAACCAAGAAGATAGATCCTGGTGAGCAACGGAATCTAGTTACAGCAGTAGTGTGAGAAGAACCCAAACAGCAAAAAAAAAAAGAGCATATAATCTAGAATGCGAGTTAAAACAGAAACCAAACTTAAGTATTATTGATCCAAAGGTTCCTCAATAAAAAGCCAGAGCTACCATCAAGATGACAAAGTAATGGATCTAGGAATACCTTCCTAACAATGCCAGACAATGAACCTAAATACAGGCAATCACAGTTATTTGGTCACGAATCAAAAAAGTCAACAACAGTTACTGATCTTGTAGAGGGAAGCAATCTCAAGAGGGGAAACAAAAACTGGATCCTTGTCAGAAATTTAACAAAGAAACCGCAACGCAAATACATTGGATCTAACCACAATTTTAGCATCCAAGTCTTACCAAAAAAATACATATAATACACTGTTAAAACAAATCCTAATAAAAGAACCACCAACCATGAGAACGATCACTGAGTATTTGTAAAGCACCCAAAAAAAGGCCATCTCTTGTTCTCTCTGGGCAACTAAAAACAAGTTAGCATTCAACTTTAAAACCTGCCACCATCTCTCTAACGAACATAAAAACTCAAACACCTTAGCTACATTCCAAAAACAAATCCCAACCCAGAAGTTAAAATTGCAGAAAACAAGAATCCGAGAACACCCCCCAAAGGCCCAAACTCCAAACAGGAGAACGTTCCCTTAAAAATCAACTCCGTAGAAAGCTGCTACTCCAAACAATCTACATTTCTCAATCAGCAAACCAATCAAACCCAATCGCCCAAAATCGAGCTACACAGTAAAACCCACATTGCGAATTCGAGAAAGAGGCAAGCAAACCCATCAGACGGCCAATAGCGAGGGTATGGGAACTGAAAGCCGAAGCTAGGGTCAGTTATGAGAGACTGTCATGAGGAAAGGGGGATTTTCTTACCAGTTGGAGAAGTGCCCTAGATTCAGGGAGGGATCCAGAATGACGGAAGAGAAATGGCAGAGAGAAAGAGAAGGAGGTGGGAGAAGAAGAAGTACCTTTTGGCTTTCTCTCTCTCTCTCTCTCTCTCTCTCTTTGAAACTGTGAATCCCGCAAGACACGACACAGTTAATTTAGTGGGATGAGAATGGGAAAGAAAGAGAGGGAAATGGTGGGAGGGAGAGAGAAGGCTAAGTAGAAGTGAGAGAAATCCGTGGAGGAATTTAATTTTGGTATTTATTGCTTCCGTCATCCCGGAACTGCCCCTCGAAAGTTCGTGTAATTACCGTCTCGGCCTTGTTTAGTTGTTTTTGTCGTTTTCGTTTCCAATCTTTTGTATTTGTTGGTTTTATAATGTTCATAGGGGTTTCCAAAAAAAATTAAAACATACTATTATATAGCTTGGAATTTTTATGGGTGGAATAGTTCGTATTTGTGTAATATTGAGTGTGTCTGAAATATGTTGATTAATTCTAAAAAAAGCATGTTGATTAAACGATTTATAATTTACATGCTTTGTGGTAAAATTAAACGATGTTACTTGTTGGAATTCTTGTTATTTTTTGAATACGATGTTGGATAACTTGATTCGACTCAATGTAACATGAAGAATACATGATTTGAAAATATCTCTCTAATAAGTTTGACATCAATATATAGTTAAACTTGTAGGAAATAAACCATTCTAATTAATAAATATTAGATAATAAACAAGATTGTCTCAACTAGATTATGTCATAGTCAGCTATCACTTTTATAAATTTTAAAAAATCATTATAGCTCAACCATCACAATCTTATAATATGTTGCAATTAAAGTCATGGTAACAAATCAAGCTATTATCATCATTTCCTTTCTATTTGTCATTAGGAGACTACAACAAGGAACAATGTATATTCAAGCTAGATGACCAAGTCATCCTTTAATATCATAGTGAGCTAGAGGGGCAAACACATACTCACTGTAAAGATAGACGAGATTGTAGATTTGATAATAAAGTGTTGACTCTTACTCTAGGTGTGTTGTGTGCATAAAATTGCAAATGTGATAAGTACACTCTCATTTGAATAAACACTTTCAATAATAATATTTCTCAAAATATTTGGAAACTGAATGTGATTTTTTTTTATACTTAGATCAAATTTTCATTAAGAACAGGCAACCAATAGCATAAACACTATGGCGCTCCTCATAACAAACAAACTGTACAAAAATCAGCTAAGCAAATAAACCCTACCCCAAGCCTCTAGCAATGAAACAATCTAACAAGCTCTGATCAAGCATACAACGATACTCAATGGTCCACTTAGCTTGCACAATTAACGTTGCTGGAGAGCAAGCACTATGCGAACCATACATCCTAGAACACCTCTCCCTCCATACCAGACTCAATACGACACTCCAAGACAGCCTATTAAGGCGCGCAGAAGCAGACTTCCCATTCCATCGGGTAATACACCAGTGCAATACTTGAGGCCAATCCACTAGCAAAGGTGGAGCAGCACTCTTGAGGATCTGTCCAAGCATGTACCTTACAAAAGAGCACTCTACAAACAGATGATGCCGAGTTTCCACTCCACCAGGGCACAGCAAACATAAGCCTGTCAGAGGTTTTCCCAAGAGATAAGTCGATCATGCAATTTCAATCTATCCTGAATGATTAACCACAGAATAAAACCGTGTCGAGGGATAATTATATTGTCCCAAACCAACTTCGTCCAAGCCACTACATTACTTTTCTGCCGAAGTGATTGCCAAACCCTTTTAACAGAGTATGACTGCATAATCTCTCCATCCCATGCCAAGCTTCCCTGCAGCAAAGAAACATAAGGGCGAGCAATTTCCCTACACTTCAAAATTCTCTTCCATATCCACGAGGCTGATGAGGACACTTTAAGGTCCCAGACTGATATGTTTTTAACCCTATAACGCCTAATCCAGGCCACCCAAAGAGACCCCTGTTCAGCTAGAACTTCCCAGAAATGACGAAGTACACAAGCTTTATTCCAAACTGCAAATCCACGAATCCCTAAACCTCCTTCTTTCTTCGGTCTAGCAAGCAATTCCCAAGAAACAACTGCTCTTGTCCTCAGTGAATTCTCTGTTATATCCCATAAATACTTGCTACAGATAGATTCTACTTCCTTAATGACAAACTGAGGTAGTAGAAAGATACCCATCCAATACTGTAATGTGCTAGTCAGAACAGACGATATAAGCTGTAGTCTCCCAGCAAAACTTAGAGTTCTTGCCCTCCAGCTAGTAATCCTTGCTGTGATTTTCTCTATCAATACACGACAGTCTGCCCGAGATAACTTTCCAGTGATAAGAGGAATTCCCAAATACCTAACAGACAAAGTACCAAGAGGGAATTTTGAATATGATGAGATATACCGTTGTTCAGGTTCTGATATTCCCCCACAAAACAACTGACACTTGTCCGGGTTGCACTTAAGACCAGAGACCCTATAGAAAGCATCAAGAACTCGATAAATTCCTGCTACCCCCCTTATAGAACCATTAGTGAACACAAGCAAATCATCAGCAAAACACAGGTGCGTTATTGCCAATGGCTTACATCTAGGATGGGGGGGGGGGGGGGTTGATTCTGTTTTACAGCCAGCTTCAGCATACCATCCAATATAGCCACAGTAGATATGGAGACAAGGGATCACCTTGTCTTAACCCATTTTTCATCTCAAAGAACCCACAAATTCCACCATTCATCACAACACTGACCTTAGGAGTACAAACACATGCTTTCAGCCATTTGATAAATAGATCAGGGATACCCATCTAACTGAGCACAGCAAACAAGAAATTCCAGTCTACAGAATCAAACGCTTTCATAATATCGATTTTGACAGCACATCTAGGGGTGATTCTACTCCTATGATAGTCTTTTACTAGTTCTGAGGCTAATAATATATTATCACAGATTGATCAACCTCTGATGAAAGCAGATTGAGATGATGAAATAAGACAGGGTAGAACAGATGCTAACCTGTTGGCCAAAATCTTCGACATCCCCTTATAAATCGTGTTACAGCAGGATATGGGACGGAAATCTTTCATTCTCTCAGCATTTGGAATCTTGGCCACAAGGGTAAAAAGAGTAGAATTCAACACCTGTGGCATAATGCCAGAAGAAAAGAAGCTCAGAGCAACTTCCTCAACTTCCTTGCCAATTAAACCCCAGTGCAGCTTAAAGAATTCAGCAGGAAACCCATCTGGGCCCGGTGCCTTGTCTAGTCCAAGTTTTCTAAATACCTTGCGAATTTCCTCTCTGGATATTGGAACAGTTAACAACCCAGCTTCCTCATGGTTGAGAGATTTTAGTGCCAAACCTTCATAGAAACTAGATGGATGTGGGTACACTGCAGGATTAGCCTCTCCAATAAGTTTCTTATAGAACTCTACTGCTACTTGCCCCAACTGCTGAATATCAGTCACCTCCTGCCCTTGAGCATTCAAGAGACGAGTTATCTGCTGGCGATGAGAGCGAATTTTCACAGAACTATGGAAAAATTTAGTGTTCATGTCACCCTCTTGAACTCCCCTAACTCGAGCCTTCTGCTTGTAAAACCCTTCCTTAGCTTTTTGCAATTCATGACATTCCACAGCTAGTTTCTTCTCTTCCCCTACTAGTGAAGGATCTAGAGTAACCAGTATAGCCAATTGCAAAGCCTCAAGTCTACTTTCACAAGCCCTCGTTCTATTTGAAATATCAGCATAGACTTCTCTGTTCAGCTTTGAAAGAGCCTGACGAACCCTCTGAATCTTCCCATAGAATACAAAATATGGCCAACCAGACACCTTATACTTCCAAGCTTCTGATACTAACTCATTGTAACCAGGATGACTAGTCCAAAATTTAAAATACTTAAAAGGCTTGGGAAAGCTCTGCACCTCGGGAATAACTGTCAGCAACAAACCACTGTGATCTGAGATACCTGGTGGAGAGGTAGTAGCAGAACTAGCTTTAAATACAGATAGCCAGACTTCATTAATGAGAATTCTATCCAGCCTCCTCGCAATGGGGTTCTCTTCCTGTTTATTCCACCATGTAAACCAAGACCCCATAACCCTATGATCAAACACTTTCATATCATCAATCCAGGACTTAAAAGCAAACATGCTAGAGTTCATACCCACAATATTAGAAGTCTCCCCTGGGTCAATCACCGCATTAAAGTCACCCATAATAACCATTGGAACATTAACTTCTTGATGGAGCAGAAGTTCTTCATACAACACAGCCCTATCTGCTTCTTTGTTTGGACTGTAAACCACTAAGAGGATGAAAGGGATATGACCTTCAACTCTAACTTTAATAAAATGCTGACCATCTGCAACCTTCACTACATCTATACCTTCTTGCCAGAGCAACCAGATACGCCCATTTGCAGACTTAGGGTAGTTATTCAAATGCTTAAACTGACTGAATTTCTTGGAGAGAATATCAGAACAATTAGAAAACAGAACTCTAGTTTCTATCAAAGCTACTATATCTAACCTTAACTTCCAAAAAAAATTCAGCACAACAGTGTGCTTTTCAGGAGAATTAAATCCCCTGACATTCCAACAGAGTATCTTCATTTTCCCCGCTTCTTCCCCCGACCCTTACCCCTAGCAGGAGCAATAGGTGGAGGTTCCACAGGTCGCTTCAAAACAGATCTGCTTAAAGAAGGGAATACCTGGTCATCCAATGGACTTTTACTCGAGCCAGCTGACAAACTCCATGGACTTCGCGAGATAGATCCCGGGGCAGGAGCTCTCACTCTATTCTTCCTGTGCGTAACCACTTGGAACCCATCATCATCTTGAACCAGACCAGGAGTAGCAGACTTTTCTTCCTCAGCAACTACAATTTCCTGAACCAGAATGTGATTTTCTTTTGATTGGATTGGATTGGATAGTATTTTCAATTTGTTTAATGGAATTGCTTGTAATATCTTTCGACGAGTATGAAAGTATTCATTACAAAAGTAGTATGGAGATCTAAATTTTGTGTCGGCAAATGTTCACCTTGACTGTTTGATCCACTGACATGAACAGTTGGGTCCTCCATAACAGTATGCAATTGTTTTAAAAATTAACATTGTGAATTCGATCGCACATTGCAACAAAATATTTCGTATTTTGTTTTTGCTATTTGTCGAACGAAGCCTTTGCCTCTTTATTCTCCCAAAGGCTCAGATTGAGAAATAAAATAAAGGTTAAGAGCTCGAGTAACAGTTAAACTATGTCAAATTAAATAAACGTTCATTGAAATTATAGGTGATGTGACAAAACGCTTATTTGTATAAGTATTTTGTTCA